GGCCTAGACCTAAGGTGCGGGTTAAACTTCGGCTTCGGCTTAGGTTAGGCTTAGGCTAAGGCTTATGAACCCGTTCCGACATTCCGTTCTGGATTTGGGTTATGCTCTAACGAGCTTGGGCTTCCAGTCCTCGTGTCTTGGGGTATACAGAAACCCCAATCTCGGCTACCTAATTCCCTAATCCCCCGGAAAACGCAGGATCGGGGTCGAGCAAAGAGCCATGCTTCTTCCTAATCGCCAGACCCGGATTTCGTAGAGCAGGCGGTTTCTCCGCGCGTCTATTCCTCCTCTCTTTCAGCCGACTCTATCCATTAGACGCTCTGCTGTGCGCGCAGGTTTGTTCCCCGCGCTCCCCTTCGTCGCGCCGCCAACTCTCGAGAGCCCGACCAAAAGAAGCTGAAAACTTTTCGTGGCTCCCCAGTCCGTAGTCGTTGGATTCGATTTTTTCAGCACAAGCTGCTGCCGTTTTTGATGCATTTATTTGGTTGTCTGGTCGCTCTCGGCTACCCATCATTACTTCTAAAATAACTACTTCTAAAAATCACTACTTCTGAAACCATTAGTTCTGAAAGTCATTGATTCTAAAATTCTTATCGTCGATTTGCGAATGACCAAATTTGCCGAAAGACTGGTTGGTCGACGTTTCAAGTTTTAGAAGTAATCATTTTCGAAGCAATGGTTTTAAAAGTGAAGAACCTTATCGAATCGATGTGTTTACACGTTATACAACGCCCCTTAATGAGCTCCAGATGATTCAGTACCAATAACTGCTGACCCACGACCCCCTATAGTTTACGAGCAGGGGGCCCGACTGCCCAAATTTTGAGTGGTCATTAGCCATTCTGTACAGCTGTTCATCCCCCCCCCCACCCCTTAGCCCCTGAACATATGGGATCGGACAATTTTTCACGAGCGCGTTTCTGTGCATAATTTGGAGGCGGAGCCTTGTCTCTATCTCAGTGCCATCCTTAGTTCAGTTTGTTTTCGAGTTTTAGGCTAACGCATATCACAATTTGTCCTGCCTGAAGCCTGGCGATGCAGGCAGTTTGTCCGGAAATTCCAATTGAAAGACTAGATTCCAGATCCAATTCCAATAACATTCACCTCAGCGGTATTGGCCTCTCTCTCTCTCTCTCTCTCTCTCTCTCTCTCTCTCTCTCTCTCTCTCTCTCTCTCTCTCTCTCTCTCTCTCTCTCTCTCTCTCTCTCTCTCTAGCCGCACCCTAAGAACAGTGAGGGGTCTACGGAGGGTGGGAACAGCGCGCCTGCTCAAACTTCTCGCCAAATACGGTGGCCCGTGACGGGATGGGGGGCGAAGAAGCCGAGAACACTGCTTTCCCCCGGGTCTCTAGTGAATTCGGGTTATACAGGCCTTACTTAGTGGGGGCCTAAAAGCAAAATAAACGAGGGCAAAAGTCAATTTTTATTTCGCTGCAAATCGGCTGAAGGTTGAGGAGCGCTGTGGTCATAGAACGTCTCCGAGCATATTCCTATACTCCGAAGCCGGCTTATTTTCATTACATCGAAAATCGTTTTGTCGAAATATCATTTTCGGAATTTTAATGTGGCGTCAGACCTTTTTCGCCTCGTTTATTCATCTCAAAAATGTCGCAAATTGAAATTTTAACCCATTGCATTTCCGACAAAATGAAATTTATACAAAATCGTATTACGACAAGCTGGTAACAAATCTTCGAAATCCGTCAAATGGAACGTATTCAGACCAACATCCCGAAATTCCGCTACTTTCCCATCGCGCAATCCCACGGACCCCCCTTGGCTGGTCAATCGCCATCCAATTTTTGTGACCCGCTGCTTCGCCCTCGTAAGCCCGGTTCCCCCGCACTGTTTCAGAGGGGGGCTCCTCATTTTCACACGATTCTTCCCCCCCCACCCAGCAGCGGACGGTGCGCGACCTTGTCCCACAAAGTGGGCCGCCCCTTTCCCTCCTGCTGGGAAGACGAGTTAGTCTTCAACTCACCCCCGGACAGGCCGGATTGTCCTTTCCGAATTTCTTAATCTCTCTCTCTCTCTCTCTCTCTCTCTCTCTATCTCTCTCTCTCTCCCTCCCTCGCTCTCTCACTCCCTCTCTTAACCATCACCGGTCAGCTGTAAATGGTAAGACGCGCTCCAACTCCCTCGTGTTTTCGATAGAGTTGAATTGACGGCAACTTTACGCCAGCTAGACTTTTTAAGCCAAAACGACATCTTAGAATCACTACTTCTCTTATAAGCATTTTCATGGAAAAAGCCTTACGCTATGCCCTATGATTACAGTTGAAACGCGGGTCAATCGCGACCCCATCGATCTCCAGAGGCGCTATCCGCTATACCCTTAATTACCGAGCACGGTGTTAATGAATCCGTACGGATTGCTTTCATATCATTAGAAAAATTTTGCCGCCAATTCTTTTAAATTAGCAGGACACTTCCGGACGTAAAAATCCGGACGCACGGAGTGCAACCACGTAATGAAGTAAGGAATGGAGTATATCAGACGCGAGAGAAGTCGCAGAAGAGCCGCACTACCCTGCCAATTTTTTTTACCCGCAAAGGTTGCATCGGGGGACGAGGATTGCGGTGGGGGACGACAGACAAAAACGGAGAAGGGCGTATGGCTGGTGGAATACGGCAATGCCGACCGGTCGGTACAAGCCGAAATGGGGTGGGGGGAGGGAAATCTAGCGGAATGGGGGACGAGGCCACACGGCTTGCGCTGGCTGGGGAAGGGCTGGAAGTGGTTGTCGAGGGCCACAGCGCGACTTCCGCGCTGTGTGGCCCGCGCCGCGTTCTGAGGACACGGCACCCATCCGATCCACCACCCCGCATCTCTCAATCGCCACCTACGCGCCGGGCGGTATAGGCTGATAATGCCGATTCACAGAATGCCGATTTACAGAATGCCGATTTACAGAATGCCGATTTTACAAAATGCCGATTTACAGAATGCCGATTTTACAAAATGCCGATTTACAGAATGCCGATTTACAGAATGCCGATTTACAAAATGCCGATTTACAGAATGCCGATTTACAGAATGCCGATTTACAGAATGCCGATTTTACATAATTAGGGTTCTACATCCAAAAATTCAAACCGGATCCCCAGAAAAAAAACATTATCCCACTTGGACATGGCGAAACCGCCAGACCTGAGGCCTAGCTTTACTATTTTCTTTTTTTTTCAGCGAAACCCTAGTTCCACGTTACCAAGCGGCCGCCCATTGGTTACGAAATTAAATTCTTCTATCAAACAGTTTTCCTTCCTCTCGACGCATTGTCAACCAAGAAATAATAATGAATCGTCGAGTTTTGTCGCTGCGGCTGAGCACGTTGGAAGTGTCGGCGACCAGCGAAAAAGGCATGCGTTAAAACTTGTCGCGAGGCTTGCGATTTCCTCGTAATCCCCGACCCCTACGCGGAAAAAAGAATTCGTAAAAATTCGCATGTCCAAGTCGGATAATGTTTTTTTTGGGGATCCGGTCTGTATTTTTGCTGTAAAACCCAAATTATGTAGAATCGGCATTCTGTAAATCGGTATTCTGTGAATCGGCATTCTGTAAATCGGCATTTTGTAAAATCGGCATTCTGTAAATCGGCATTTTGTAAAATCGGCATTCTGTAAATCGGCATTCTGTAAATCGGCATTCTGTGAATCGGCATTGTGTAGGTAAATCGCGCCGGGCCTCCCCCCCGGGTCGCTTGATGAATTTGGTTTTGCCCCTAATTTAGGCAAATTTTTGTTGACCCGTAATGTTCGTGAATTTTCTCTGATTCTAAATTCCAATAGTTTTCGTTTTATTTCGTTTTATTGACCTAAGGATACTCAGCCCAACCCAAGCCAAATTCCAAGCACTAGCCGAACTCGAACATAACGAATTCCTCAACTGGTTCGGTGAAAAAAGGGGATTTCCGGGGCAATAGCACGCGCAATTTGCTCGCTACAACCATTCCGCCACAAAGCCATCGTGACTCACGAAATGTGCGGCTAGATGCCTCTAGATCATTCCAGCCTTCCACCTTTTTTTCCGCTCTGGTTTTGGATCGGTGATCTCAGTTTGTTCAGTTTTTTTTACAAAACGCGAAGGTTTGTGCCGATTCGTTAAAGGTATCAGGAAGGCACAGAAAAAAATTAGCACAAAACGCGCTTCAGTTCTAAAACTAGCATAAATCTTCTCTGCTCTCTCCTGCATCCTCCCCGCCCCTGGCTATTTTTTGCTTAGCATTTCCGGAGGCTCGTTGCCAATTATAGATGAGCCCTGATCTACTGGGCCTTCCTTATCCCTTTAAAGGCAACTGCACAGTTACGCTCAAACCCCCTCGCCTCGTCGATTTCCTTGCATCCCGACGTACTGGCGCAATGCCAAGGGGTTAATTTCTGATGATTTCCCTTCCTTATCCCTTTAAAACAGGCCTCCATGCGCTGCGCCGGTCGTCAGGATGGTGATTGATAAACGAACGGCGACGAGCCAGATTATCAAATCAGTGCGCGCATGCCTGAACAAGCTATGTAGGGAACAACCTAATGGGGAAAGCAGGTTGCCCGCTTCAGCTAATCGATGGAAATCAGCAACGTTTAGCAAGTAAAAAATCGGCGTCGAGGTGATGCCCTAACTACTCGCACTGCACAGCTTTTTTTCGGTTTTGCGTTTTATGCTGTTTGTGCTTTGTTTTTATTGAACCAAAAAATTACTCGGGCACATATCATTTTTCCGAATCCTGTGCATTTTGCGCGTAGGCATAAAGGGGTCGGATGGCCTTTCAAGAATTTCCGAAAAAAAGAGTCGACTCCCAGCCTGAAAGATTGCTATCGGAGGGGCGGCGCGACCTCAGCCGCCCACCATTGCATCCAGCCACCTCAAATCACATTCATTACCTTCCAAATATTCAATATTGTGTTCGAAAGCTTTATTCCCTTAAAATGAACTGATCTCAACCTTACAGCTACTCCCCGTATCGATATGCTCTATCGGTTGAAGTGCAGGCGAGCCAACCGACCAGAATGAGCCTGCGCGCCATGCTACACTTTATCTCTATATTTCTTTTCATACTTTTGCTGAGGATAGAGGCCATCCGCGCACAAGGTACGTCATACGCCAAGCCTACGTAACGCTACTCATGCTTCTTAGATTCCCGCATAGGCGATCCATCAGCTGGGATCGATCCTGGAGGCCGAACCCTCCCCGAACACTTTGTAATTATAAAGGTACTGTTCTTGAATTTTCTGTAATAATACATCTTCTAAAATCATTACTTCTAAACATCATTACCTCTAAAAGTCATCACTTCTAAAAATCCTTACCTCTAAAATCGTTTCTTCGAAAAGTCAGTACGACGGATCATCAGTTCTTGGGCAAATTTGGCCATATTTATTCGAAAATCGAGGCTAACTTTTAAAAATAGCGATTTTTAGAAGTATACACTTTAGAAATCATGATTTTAGAAGTAATGCTGGGCAGCCCAAAAAACGTGTACCCTCTTCTCAACACTTAAATTCCAGGACACACGCTCACCCTGGTCTCAGCTGTCCGTCACCTTACCGACGCGGCGCAGCGACTTTGAGCAGTTCATCGCCAAGGTGGTGGATGTGACGGAGAAAGTGTACGCGTTTAGGTTGTATACTATAGGATTTATTGTTCTTAGACCCCACGCAACCCGGGACGTCAACCGCACATTCCTCGCGTCGGTCGAGGATGCATCTGTGATCAAGATTCATAACTTGCACCCCGGTCATAAGTACAGGTCCGTTGGTTGGCAAAACGAAAATGATAACATGCAAAAAACCATTGGCACCCTGCCTGATTTAATTTTACTATAGCCTTTAGCATCACGATAATCGGCCGACGTGCTGACAGCTCTGAGAAGATCAAAAGCGAGACGGTGGTCATGGATCCGCAGGTACTTTTATGCCATTGGGCATGTAGAAACGCATTCTTTGCAATGTTTTTGGATCCTTTGCATTATCGAGGGACCAACTTTTTTTCTTAGGATCCAATTTTTCAAATATTGATGCTGGCTGTGTTTCTAAACGGTTTTCTGCCATTCCAAAACGTGAAATTTTACACACGATTTTGACCAACATTTCTATTTTTTCGAACTCGTTAAAGTTTTTCGATATTGTTTCTATTTGAAATATAGTTTTTCTTTTGCTAAAAATACCATGAAAACAACCACAAAAACAATAGACTTTCTAGGCTTATACCGAAAAGTTAGGTCCCCCGATAATGCGAAAAAACTGATTTTGAAATTATTTAACCTTCTAGGCTCCGGAGATTCTCCTCGGCAAAGACATCGTGGCCTCGGAGACAAATGTGACGTTGCACGCCACGAAGACGAACAAGGCCGTCCAAGAGCTCTTTAAGGTGGACTATGTGCAGCTCGAGCCTGAGGAACGGTTTCCAACGCTAGAGGTTACGCAGAGGTTGTCTTCTAAATTTCTTCATTTAGGTACTCGATATCCCGGAGCAGCAGGATCTCGAGATCTATCTCGGTAACCTCAACCCCGGCCGTGAATACAAGTACGTCCTACGGTCTTTAGATTTCATATATTTCAGGGTGAAAATCGCGGCAGTGAAAGCTGGGCTCAAAAGTCGACCTTGGGAAGCGACGCTGGCCACTAGTACGTAGAGATAAATAATTCATCGAGTTTTCTCCTTAGAACCATCGACACCCACCGGACTGCGTGCAACCGATATGCAGCCAAATTGCGTCAAGTTGGAATGGGACTTGGCAGGTACGCCAAAGGATTTGCCATACTTCAACAGATGCACTGTTCCGAATCGCGAAAATCGGAATCTCGAAAATTACGATTCTGGTCGTCGTCCGGCGGCGTCCTAACTTTTTTATGGGCGAAAACGACTACATCTTCGAGATTCTGATTTTCGATATCTTGTTTTTGGAGATTCTGATTTTCGATATCTTGTTTTTGGAGATTCTGATTTTCAAGGTTCAGATTGTTCACCATTCCGAAAAAAATTAAAATTTGCCTTCCAGGAGACTCGGGATTTGACGCGTTTGAGGTGGAATACGGGTCAAAGGACAGCGAGAACGTGCACAAGGTTTGTAGCTAGCAGAACCCACGTTAAACAATATCCTTTAGCTGACGGTCACGGATGGGCGTTCATCACTCCTGTGCGATAGTATCCAACCAGGGAAACGCCTCCGTTTCGTCGTCACTACCCGCAAAGGTCTGAACGCCCATCACTATTTTTGTACTTTCAACTCTAGGGGCCGTGCTCTCAAGCCCGGCCGTGATGCTGCATGACGTGCGCCCGCTGGCCCCCACCGAATTTAGAGTACGTGATTTAGCCTACCCTGTTACCACCCTGGGCAATTCAGGTACGCCCGGATATGACGAAGGGAAAGTACCACGTCGAGGCTGACCTTTCCGAATTGTCGCACTCAGACCTCTGCCATTTGACCGTGATCTCAGAGTCATTGACGCGAAGCGAGAACGAGGCGTCGCTGGAGAAATCGGGACATGGGTATGCGAGCGCAGGTCACGATTGAGCGCGTGATTTCAGATGCGTTTTCTACCTGCCATTGACGCCCGGCGAGCGGTTTGAGTTCGCCGTGTCGTCGTCGTCGAACAACGTGCCCAGCGCAAAGCTTCAGAAGAGCGTCGTGCTGGGCCCGGCGTTTGACATGAAGGCTTTCGGACTGAACGTCCAGGTGGGCCAAACAAAAAGACGTGTGATTTCAAACCGTCACATTCCATGCGCTACAATTTTTAGAGCCTGCCTAACGATGTGCTTTTCAGGAAACAAAGACCGGTCTGGAGTTGCAGTGGCCGCAGAGCGAGGTGTTTATGTCGAAGCTGAAGGATATGTGGGCAAAAGTAAACGACCTGCTGATTACTGATCCGCACTTTTTCCAGATTGTCGGCCAGAAGTCGGTTTTGCAACTCCGCCTGACGCCCCTCGACAAGGGCAAGACGCGCGAGCGCAGCCGACAGTTTGATTCACAACCCAGCAAAGGGGAACCCATCGTTGTGCAAGGGCTTCGCCGCGGATCGTGCTATCAGGTCGGTGTTAAAATTCTACTTGTGGAGCCGGCTTTCAGGTCCAAATCTACACGGTAACGCGGACGGGGATCGTCTCTGAAGCGCGTTACAATGAGAGTCTGCGGATGGCGGCCCCTCCCGTCAGCCTCATCCTCGACGCTGTCACCCACACCACAGCCACCCTCAAATTTCACACCAACTTCAGCGTGAGTCGAGATTTTGGGGCGGGGCGATGATTGAGTTGCCACACCACGGCGACAGAAATTTTGCGTCTTTTTGCCTCGACTTTCACTATCCCCTTAACATTACAGGATCCCGTGAACAGCACCCCGAATCCGGAATGTCAACTCTCGGTGACTGTTAGCGATATGCACCAGATGGTCGTCTTCGACAGGTATCTTTTTCGAACCACTGCGTAAGCAATTTACTGTGTACAATAATAACGTTCCGCTCCTTTAGACGTCTTCCCCTAAGCGTGGACATGCCGCCGTTAGCGCTGACTGGTCTGCGGCCATACCATAAGTACAACGTGAATTCACAGGTTTCAAGTCAATTACTTACGCAAACAGTGCCTAGGTGATCTGTGGTGGATTGTCGTCTTCGCAGTGCGCCCCGTCAAGTCGCACGATGAAGTCGTTATCCTTCTCTACGCGACAGGATCGGCCGGGCCCAGTGCAGGGGCTTCAAGTGAAGCCGCTGAATCCATATTCTGTAAGCATGATTCAATGAATCACGGCCCGCCACGGTTCAGATTCAACTCCTATGGCTGCCGCCAGCACTTCCAAATGGGGTCCTGACGCACTACGTGGTCGGCGTTCAGCCAACGGTAAATTTGAAATTTCCAGGGTGTCCCAAAGATCCATCCTACCTAGTGGGCCTCAGTCGTGCCCGATTTTTACGATATAGGTATCGATTGAAAGCTCTCCGAAAAGTTCAGAACGTCTTTTCGCTTGTAAATTCCGGAAATTTTGCTCTATTTTGGAATTTTTCATGCAAAAAGGACATCTTTTGTCAAAAACAACTCCTTTTCAACGGTCTAAGCGCGATCCAAACTGCGTTTTATCAAATGGCCTTCAAAAAACTGTCTTTGTGCTACTTTTTTCCAGATTTTGGGCCCCGTATATGCTAGGATGAGATACATTAATTATGCAATGTAATCTGACCCTATTTGCAGGAACCCGGACAGGAGCCCTGGTCGGTCAATGTGGCCCTCTCAAACAAGCGACCCGACCATACCGTAGAAGCGGTGGTCGATGGACTCACCGGCGGGCAGCTGTATCGGCTCGAGGTAACGTTTCAGAGCGCTCGAACAAAAACAATGCCCCCGCGCAGGTGAGAGCCGTGACCGAGGCCGGTGCGGGCGATCCACCTGCTTCTAACGATCAAGCCACCGTCACCATGCCGATCATGGGTGAGTATTTTCAAGATCACTGAGTCGTTATACACCAGCCTGCATGGCATAAAACTGTGTACATATCGGAATCTCGAATTTTCAGAACTTCGAAACTTGCATACTAAGAGCCCGATTACTCCCTGCACCCAGCCTATGCAAATTTCGAAATTCTGAGATTTGGGATCCTAATTTTCGAGATTCTGAAATTCGAAATTCTGATTTTCAAGATCTTGCTAGTTTCCCCATAAAATTGATTCGATTTTCAGCGCCTCCCAAACCCCCGTCGGCCCTGGACGTCGTCCTCGATACGATCAGCCCACAAACAATGACGATCCGATACACGACGCAGATGTTCGACTCGAAGAACGGGCGCGTCACCAAGTAGGCCCCCGTTCGCGAACTGTTGACACCCAGCCCGTCTTTAGGTCGGCTGTCATCGTGGCCGAGGTGACGGAGGATGGTCGAGTGACTGAAACATGGCTCTACGCGGACAACAAGACATACGTATGTATGCTTGACCTTGACCTTAGATTGGGCTTCGGCTCAGGCTCAGACTTTCTGATTAATAGCAATCTACATGTAACTTTCAGACTTGGGCCGAGGTGCAGCGATTTGATGTCTGGCCCGCCTATACGGCCACAGTCAATGAGGTGCCGGTCATGAAACGAGCCGCTCCGGTCCGAACGATCACTGAGGTGGGAATTTTTTGAGCGTTTGAAGTGATGAATTTTCAATCAACTGGCTTCTTTTCAAAAGTTTAAATAGGCGATGCCGGGTTTTCATAATGTCGAAAGCTCCAAATGGAGGAATTTTATTTCGGAATTTCATAACATCGAAACCTTTGGGTTTGCGGTTGCTGCGTAACCCTTTTCATAAAGTCGAAACCTGGACCTGATGGTCAAAACCTAAACATTTTGTCATTTCGTCGCTCTTATAATTGCAGCTTTTGAAATTTCGGCATTGTGAATATTCGACGGTATGAGTTTTCACATTGTGATGCCCAATCGTATGGAATTGTTTGTCTATCTTACCAGCCTTTGCTTCACCGGATCCCCTCCTATCCTATGAATACCCCAAAACGAAACGCCACTTTGTTATTCAAAAGCGAACCCCCGGATTAAACAGCAATTTCCCGCCCGGGGGGCGCTTGACGAACAATACTAATTGGCGAGTCCTTTTCCGCGCGGGGTTTGCCTTCTTCTTCATTCATGCCAACCCGGGGTGGGCCCTCATTTGACGATTTGCGTCACCCCCCGGCAAGAGAAGACCCGATTAGGGCCCTCTGCTCAGAAAAAGCAGCCACCCATTGCCGAGTCCCGGAATCCCTAATTTTGCCCCCGGGGAATCTTTGATGAGGAACGGGGGATGGGTGAATGGGAGCCGCCTTCCGTACACTTTCCGCTTTTTTGCCGCTCGCAGAATGAGTGGCTACGAGTCGGTTTGGGTTGAAAATGAGAATAGGCTTGTGCGAGAAAGAACAAATTCCGACGTAGTATTAACCAAAGGTATCAGGTATCCTATCCTATAAGCGAGAAAAGTATGTTTGTTTTCTGTGCAGCCGATTTCTCGGCCGTCAGGCCGAATTTCGCGCTGATTTTTGGCATGGAGGTGGAGAAACACATCCTCTTTATAAGCATTTTTAGGTTTTTCGAAATTCCTTCATTTAACGATTTTACAAGCGAAATAGTGAAAAACCCTTAACATTTTGGTCAAAAAAAGGTTTGTACAGAGGATATCTCGCGATCTAAATGGAATTGGGCGCTAATTTTTGGAGGGTAGATTGAGAATTGAATTCTCCCGATATATAATTCTGCGTTTTGTCAGATTTTGTAAAATGAAGTTTTTATGAACATTTTTATAAAAAGTCCTTAATAAAGTGGGCCAAGAGCCGTGGTGTCCGGGCGATATCTCAGAGCCCAGATGGAATTTCGGTCTGTAATTTGGAACACTTATGTATCCGATAGTGGGGATCACGCGCATCTTATTATCTTTGTAAATTTTCAGCTGATTCGTACTCGAAAACCGAATTTTGTAAAGTGACCAGTAGGCCTCCCTCCGGGGATCATTGGGTTGCCCTTTTCTTTGCCTTCCCCGCCCCCTTTCCCCAGGACAGATGAGAGCTTTCCCGCCGCCTGTTCGTATCTGTTGGATGGTGTAGTGGCTTTGCGCCCGGTCTATCATGCGCATGGTCGTGAGTTCGGATCCTGGGGGAATTTAATTTTTTGCTTTTTGGTAGTTCAGTAACAAAACATATTTCTAGGCTCTGGGCGCGCGAGATTTAGACCTGGCTCTGGCTCTAGCGCCGCAGGCCAAAGAAAAGGTCCTTGGTCCAGGCTCTTGCGCCGCAGGCAAAGGATGGGTTTTTGAGCTAGGCTCTTGCGCCGCAGGCCAAATCTGGGAGAAAAACCAGTAACTAGCACTGCAGGTAAAAAGATTCTAGCGCGTTTAGGCCTGGATCTCGCTTTAGCGCCGCAGGCCAACGAAAAGGTCCTTGGACCAGGCTCTGGCGCCGCAGGCCAAAGAATGGCTCCTTGACTCACATTCTTGCGCTGCAGGCTAAAAAAAGAAGGTATTCGAATTCATCGTTCCTGGACGGGGTCCAGTGGAAAAGGGCCGCGAAGCGGGCTTTTTCCACTGGTTGGGAAATATACATGAGCCTGGGAATCCACCAAATGAAATATGAGCATGAGCGAGGAATTTTACTTTTGAACTTAAGTTGTTATAACTGGGAAACGGATAGAATGGCTAAGGGTTAGGCATTTAGGCTTAAGGCCTTGGTTTAGGCTTAGGTTTAGGCTTCGAGCTTAGGCTTCTGCTTAAGTTCCGGGCTTAGGCTTCAGGGCTTAGGATTAGAATGTTTGGAAATTCTCACTGTCCGGATTCTGATTGTCGGGATTTTCGATGTAAAGTTATGAGCGGATTCGCTATAATTCAATCTACAGGTGCTCGGCTCAAACCCGAATTGCCGTGACCTGCCCGCCGACGCTGTCTGCAACGGGCCACTCAAGCCGGGCACCGCGTACAAATTCAAACTGCGCGTCTTCACTGCCCCAAATTTATGGACGGACACCGACTACAGCCCCGTCATCCAGACCGGTGAGTTTTAAATTACCTCAATCTTAATTTTACGCATGGGCTAGTCAAATCTGCCCCCCCCCCCCAGAGTGAAAGTAACAACGTAAATCACTTCCCTTTTCCTAGGCGCTACCCCCTGAGCCGGCCAATTCATTGCAGCCGTTTATTGTTGTGGCGCCGAGAAGTAGTCACACCACAAAAATTTTCGCCAAATGCTCCGACAATATAGGCGAGAATACAAGCAGCTTCCGCTCGCAATTCCTAACATTTTGTGGCTCCCTTCATTGCATATCGATGCTAACATCAAATGCTGTCCAATAGGCTGGCCCCACAGCGGCCGTCGGAAACGGAAACGAGCTGTGGTGGGTGGGGGGGTGGTTGACAGGATGAATGGGATGCTGTTTGTGCATGAGCCGCCCATCAGTCCTGGGCCACACGTCATGGCGATACGTCGCTTTGCACTCGCCTCGGTCAGCCTCGTTGCCGAAAACTATGTGATTTAATAAATTTTTCTAAAAAACAGGCGAGGGGTGACTGTAGATTTTCCTTCTGTATCGAGAAATTGGCTCGGCGCGTTTGAAACTCGTTTTTCTACAGGGTTGCGTTACGTTACTAGAAAACACCCCTCTAGCTCGGCGCAGAAATATCGGAGCGGAACGAAAGTTACACCATCCGCAAGTTTGCAACAATCTTCAAAACCAGGTTTTTAATGAAATACGCTATTTTAGAAGCCATTTTGTAAGATTTTCCGCTTTTATGGGATGTATAGGAGCTAATTTGCCAAGGTTTTCGAGCAAAGTATCCGGAAGTTGTCGTTAATGAGTTCGATGTTCTTAAAAATAAAACCGAAAATGGCGCGTTAAAACAAGAAACATGAAGACTGAAGAATTTGAAGTCTTTTGCCAACTCGCCGTTTCAAGGGCTTTAGAATAATGTAACAATTGTTCCGATCCGACACTTCCACTTCGAGTTAGAGCGGTTTTGTTATTGCGACAGGCTATACACGATGCATACATGCTGTGTTGCTTTCGCGCAAAACGCACTTGGCATCCGTGTCTACTGCTATTAAAAGCTTACAACTCGGCCTGACAGACTCCTCTGAAAAAAAAACCGGGCGCTATCGCCAGATAAAAGCTACAACGACCCAGTTAGAATCAGTAATGAGCCCCACGTCCCGCGCATAGGTCACAACTTCCTTCCCCCCCCCACGCCTGGTGCTCTTCCACCCGCCTCCACCCCATTCAGCCGTTCTGAAAACAAAAGACGCCAAAAAAGCGTTCTGCTGACCCGTTTCGAGAAGAGGCAGAGCCGGTGCTTCCGGTGTGTAAACACACTCCGTCCCCATCCTAGCCCCCCCCCACCGCCAACTGACACTTTTTCGCCCGGGACGAATATCCCCCCGGCCTCACCACGCCCAAACTGCCCATAATTCCCACGGCCCGGCCGGGCTCGAAACGTAGCACACGCTTAGGGCTTCAAATCGTGCGATCGGCACATCTTCTTGAGGGACGTTGGGCTTTCGACTCAAAACTAGACTCACTTGTTGCAGAAATTTTCGCTGTTCCCCATCTGCTTTTTGAATTTTGCAGAACGGTCTTATTGCAAACGTTTTAAAATGTAATGTTGTGTGATAAAGGGGATCTGCTATTTTTTTTGTCGAAAATCATGATGTCGCAAGCTCAAAATGCCGAAAATCATGATGTCGAATTTTCAATCGGTCGAACTTTGAGAATTTGAGCTTTTCCGGGGATTTTGTTTATGTAAGTTTCGAGATTATAACATTTCGGCATTGCGAATTTCGACGTACGATTTTCGACAGTACAGTAATCCGGTAAAGGCGCATCTGATAAATCCAAAAATAGCTTCCAATTTTCCTACTGCGGTACGATGCAAACTCTGAAAGTGGATTCGGAACCCTCACGAAATTCTGTAGTAGATAGGTCGGGTGGCGTCTCGAAATCCCAATCACTCTATCGCAGCATTCTCGACTTTCATAATCCCAACCCTGTCGGATCGGGTACCGACCCCCGCAGTTACCGTATTCCCGACACCTCTTCTCTCCTCCCACATCATCCCCTCTCCCCATTCATCCGATCGGAGGATTAGCATCGCTTCCATACCCATCCACTTCGCGACAACCTCGCCAACTGAATTGATATTTTCCGGAAATCCTAACCCGTCGCCACCACCACCCATCCCCATCACCGCGCGGTATAAAAGGGAGAGCCCGGGATTGGATTAGGGCGAGTCCATTTTTGGACTCGGTTTCTAAGTTTCAAAGTGACGTGCCATATACCTCGGGCGGGCGCCTGTAACGGTTGTATCGCGATTTCATGGTGTTTGAATGTTTTGAGTTTGCGCTCAGGTTTGTCTTTGCATTTTCACCTTGCTCAATCCATTCCCCCTCCAAAAAGGCCCCAAAAAAACGGCATTTGCCGCGGAGGCGGGCGGTGGGCCCCTAGGGTTAGCAAATCGCGTTTTTCGAGAATATTCGCGCTCACGCCAAGGTGTGTGCGCGGGCGGAATCTCGTTATTTCTTGAGGGGGGGACGGGACGGCGAGAAGGGGGAGGAAGAACTGGATGGGAAGCCCATTTTCGCGTTGACTGGTTTTGCAGTGGGGCTTCTTATTTTTGGCGGGCTTCATCCCGGGTTGAAGGAGGGAATTCATTTTGAAACGACGTTGCGGACTACATAATTACATAAAAAACTAGTGTCCGCGTGTGTATATATTTGCAACTTTCAGAAATATGTCCCGCACCCATAGCCGTTTTCTCTTACTTTTCTCTCTAGAAAACCCAGCAAACCATATAAATCTGATTTTTTTATCAACTTTTAGCAGTTATTGATCGAAAAATCAATATTCTAGTATTTTCATTAAAAAATTTCTTGAGTTTTTAAGTTTCGGAATGATCAAAAACAGTCTAGAAACACTTCACGATATTAGAAAGATTTGGGGTAAAAAATGAAGTGATCTCCTTCGATATTTCGAAAGATCATTATCGATAATTTTCGCGACGCCCCCGCATTTGCTCGTACCTCGCAGCTCCGCCAAAAATCAGCGGTTATCATCAGAAAAAAAGACAGCTCCGGTATGCCATTCAGCAGGGCCACCCCAGCTCCCCCTCAATCAGGGCCCCAAGTTGAGGGGCCGGTTCTTTGTGTGTAAGTGTGGATGCCTGCCCACCCCCTTCGGCCCAAAAGAATGGTTATTCGGGCGCAGCGCCCTGGGCGGGGAGCTGGTAATTGATAGTTGTGCGACGGGTAATTTGCTTGGTGGCCTTTCGGGCGCTATTGCATACACATCAACGCCCCGGGGGACGCGCTGATGGCGCGTGATTGACCTTCTTCGATCCCGAACTTGCCAATTGGGCGGGTCGTGGGCGGGCGGGTATAAATATAAGGGTGATGGGACTGATGGGCCTCCCCATTTAGCTAAAGGGGATCCTGAATCTGCGCCACGCCCCCCAGCGTCGATTCCTGGCAAATCGCCAGATGCGACCGTGATGCGACCGCACCGCCTGAACACATGTCCCTGTTTGGACGTGAAAGCGCTTAATTTCAAAATTCTGACGCTAGTCCTGGAATCCTGACCAAATTGCGGCCATTCTAGACGTTGTAATGATGAAAATTGACCAGAGAATCAACACGATTGAGAGATTGGGCGCTTTACAGGGCATTACGACATGTAATCGCCGCCCACTCAAAAAGTCGTTTTCGCCGCCGAGAACCTTTCGGTTTTACACAAAAATTTTACTGTTTTGCGCAATGACATCAGTTTTTTGGTGCTTCTCGGCAGTAACCGTTTCGTTTTTTGACTAGTAGGTTCAATCCCCACAAGCGCGAATTTTGACTTCTGAGCCCCCTTAAAATCCATCTTATCGCGCCGGATGGTTAAGGTTCTCTTCCTTTATAAGGCCCTGTCGGCAGCGTCGTTTTGCATGAAGCGCGGACAGATTTGGCTGCGTGAAGTTAGCCTGAATCTTCGCCTGGATCCAGACACAAGCCTAAGCCCAAGCGCAAGCTTAAAGGGATACCCAACCTTTTCGGGGCTCAAAAAGCAAAAACCATGACGCGGGCGGGGGTCGAACCCGGGACCCCCGCTCCTTCGACATTCTGAATTTCGACATTATGACATTTCGACATTATGACATTTCGACATTATGAAATTTCGACATTATGAAATTTCGACATTATGAAATTTCGACATTATGAAATTTCGACATTATGAAATTTCGACATTATGAATTTCGACATTATGAGTTTCGACATTATGAATTTCGACATTATGATACCAATTCCCTGGACGCTATCCATTAGGCCATAGTGGCAAGCCATTGGTCGAGATGGGGACGCCACAAGGGGGAGAGGAGGCCGAATTCTGTGCGGCACTGGGCATCCATTACCGCACAAAATTCGCGCGACATTTGTACTCCCCGGAATACATAACTATATATTTGCCGCCAAAACATTGGGTATCCTTTTAAGACTAAGCACAATTCTCAGATAGGGCCTAGGCCTAAGCCTAAGTCATGCTTGTCCCTTCAAAATTCATAGCGCGCCTTTACTCCGGTAATTTTGACGGCGCAATTTTCTGGCCATTGACGTCGTCCGCGGACCCTAATGTGCCATATTACACGCAGCAATAACCGTTCCCCATATGGGTTTCTTTCGTTAATGCTCTTTCCTCGGTATGCCCTTATATAATCCCGAACCCATTTCAGAGCCTCTCCCATCCGGCATCTCGCGGGGACTTCTGCTGTGGTGTCTCGGAGCCCTGATCGTCGTCGGACTCGTCTCGGCCCTCTGTCTGCTCATCTGGAATCGGACGAGGAACAAGAGGTTTGTTCTTCAACGGGGCTTACACAATCGTTTTTTTGGCTACCGATCCTTACTTCTAAAATAATTACTTCTAAAATTCTTAGCGTCGTTTTGTGAAAAAATATGACCAAACATGCCGAAAAACTGATATTTCGACGTACCAACTTTTAGAAGGCGTGATTTTAGAAGTAATGAGCATCCCCTTTTTTGATGTTCGTTAGCTGTGTGGGGAAGCGGGGGGCGGCTTTCGTCAGCCGAGTATCAAATCATCCCACACACGAGACCCATTCCAAATTCATCGAGCCGCCGCTTCATCTCATCTCCCGCGCCCTATGTTGCTCACTTTTATCGCGACCTCAGCCTGGCTGGGCACTTTAGTCCTTTTAATAAGGCGTAAAACGCGAATATTGCGTCGTGTCGCAATGGGATAGATAGTTTTATAATAATATTTATTCTCAACACAAGGTTCACAAAGTCAACTCTTACAGTGTGAGGAATCAGGTGTAAATAGAGTGGTGGAGAGGATAGATAAATAAGGGGAAAATTATGATTAATTGTAAATATTATGAAGATGTGAAAGAGGGGGAATGGAATAGAAGAGTAGAATGACGAGAACACCATTACAGTAGTTAGGAGATGTGGATAAGTCGAGAAAGATGATTTTTAAAGACTTTAGACGGAATATAATGGCAGTTTGGGGACAAGAATTTAAGGGAGCATCTACGCGAGAGGAGAAGAAAGCTTTTGACAGAGGTTTTTTGAGTTGAGTTTTGAATCGGAATTTTTTTTGACGGAACTTTAGGTTTGTACAAGATCCAATTGCGTTATGAACAAGGAGACGTCTTTTAAAGGCCACCGAGTTTTGAAATCGAATCAGGCTTATCTTGTGCAGAATTTTTTGTTGAACAAAAGGTACTTTCAGAATCGGCAAAACGACCATATTTAAAAATTTGTAAAGCCTTAAAGTGTGGAAATTCGCGAGAAAGGCCAACTCGCAGCTTCTGGGAAATAGGTTCTAATCAGCGAACAAATCTGCACAATCTGGGGCTCTTTCGAAACTCCGTAAACACTCAAAAACGTCTCCTTGCAATTTCCCGCATTTATACTCTCCCTTTTGGTGCTCTACGACATCTTATCGTTGCAGTTCGAGCCAAAAAAAGTTTTTTTTGCAATTTCGCACCTCACTCGCCGTCCAGGTTCTTCTACCAAAGATGTCCCATTTTTTTGGCAGAGTCCATGGTACGGAGGGGGTGGTGGTTGAATCAAAGAGGAAATTTGATTCTCCACGGGCCCCGAGGGCTCACACGAGGCAAAGGACCTCCCCCAGTCGGCCTGGGTCCTCGTTCTAAAGAGGGCCCTAGCGGCTCGAAAAACGCGATGGCTCTGCCTCAGGGGGCTTCTCCCCTCTTTGGCCTCCGCCTCCTCCTCCTTCTCCTACTCCCCCGCCAACGCACTAGCCAAGAAATATGGCTAAAGAAGGAGGTTTCAGCCCCACATAATCATGCGTACATCTGTTTATGGCATTAGACAGCGCCCTAAAGGCGCCAGGAAATCGTGGGGCCCATGCTTTGCAATTTTTCAAAGGCGCTCGCAATTTTTTTGCTGCTCTGATATTAGAAATGACGCCCCCTACTTTTCACAACAATTTAAGTGTTTAGCTGCTCAAATGGCCTGGCTTTTATTTTCATTTTTTTCCGGAATTGCAAGTCAGTTCCGCTAACGACACTGAGGCTTTACAGTAGCATATCACCCCACATGTTGCCGACTCAGCCGTCCACCCTCTTAATTGCATGTGTCTACGCCCCACTGCTGACAAACAAGCGTGTGCGCCCGCGCAAAAATAGCCAAATCACGAAACGAGCCCGCTCTCAATAACGCGAAATATGGGCCCAGGGATCCCCGGGCCCATTCCGCCCCCTATTCCCGTCTCTCGCACTCTGACTCTCCCTCTCACTTCTCTTTCTCTCCTCTCTTTATTCAAAAATCGCGGGCCCCCTATTTTTAGCCGCCACCGATTTTCGTCGGCCATTGTCCCGGACGTTTCGCGGGGGAGGGCGGCTACAAAATGGCGGATTCGTTGGCGTTTTGCCGTCATTATTTCCTTTTTGAAAGCCTCCAGCTGTTCCCCCGCGATTCAACGTATATTTGCTTGACGATAAAAAAGATTAATACGAAAAATTGAACCATTGGTTTGAGCCTTTTTACGATGTGCTATACTAATGTCGACAATCATAACGCCGAAATTCCATAACGTCGAAGTTTTAGAATGTCTAATTTTTTTTGCATGGGATTCGGGGGTTTTTCCCGGGGAATTTGGTTACTTATATTTCGAGATTCTGAATATTCGACATTCTGAAATCCCGAGATTTTGACATTTCGGCATTTTGAAACACCCCCCTCCCTTTTTTTTACAAATGCCACGAATTTTCCCTGCTTTTTTGGAGCTTTCGACTAAGGCAAGAAACTTTCCAAATACTGAGCCTGAGATTTGTTGCGCCCGCAAAACCCACGTATGGTTTGAAAACTTCCCATCAAGCGGTGTCCTGCCAAAAATAGCCGGCGAAAGTCCAAAAATGGAGGCCGACAGCCCCGGAATGGAGTTGCAGCCAGCCCTGAACCAATCGGTCAGTGGAGGGTGGACATCCAGTCTCTCCCCCCCCTTTCCCCCGCCTTTAGCAGCCGAGCAAAAAGAAAGAGGCCGAATTCTCCGTCACAGCATCCATTTTTGGGGGCTCCCCCCCTGAATGGATGTTTATTTTTTTGCGTCGCTCGGAGGGTGGCCCGTCATAAGAATGAGATCGCGACGAGAACCGCGCAGTTATTTGGAGGGCCCGACATGCGTTGACGGACTACGTAGCACCACTGACCTAGAGTTACATGTATATCTTAAGCCCAAGTCTCAGCTAAGCCTAAGCCTAAAACTAAGCAGGAATTTAAGATTAACCTAAGCGTATATCCCCCGAGTCGAACAGCCGGAACCCGGGTGAGCCCTGCGAAAAGTCGAAAAACCTTATCAAAAGTGGCGATCTCCGCTCGAAACGTCCAGGCGGTCTCATAGGTTGCGGGGGCGCCTGTCTCTTCTTTCTTCCAGTCCGCCGATCGGCGATTTCCGGTCATTTCCGGTGCGGAATTGATACTCTGCAGCGTGTGCAAGTCACACTTGGCGCTTGATCCGCCTTTCGACATCTTTGTTTTCGATTACCTATCAGAATCTCGAATTTTAAAAATCTCGAATTTCAGTATCACGAAGAAGAGGATCTCAAATTTTTCGAATCTCGAAAAAATGTCGACAAATTTCCATAGTAAGAATGAATATTAAGTGCTGCAGGAACTCCACGCTGACGCCCTGCATCCAGCCTATGCAAATTTCGAGATTCTGAAAATTCACTGTTCTAGTTTTCGAGATTCTGATCCTTGAGGTTTTAATAGATCCCCCTTTTCCGAGTCCGGCTGTACTCACTTTCCCATTCCCAAGTTCTGAATTGCGACATTTTCACGAAAAAAGCTCATTTTCCCCTCATTTCCCAGGGAGGCGAGCAGCGGGGAGTGGAGGCGGCGTGGGGGCGTTTGGTGGGAGGAGGCCAACCCGGCCGGGGGGTGGGGGGCTTATTTTCCAAAGGTCCCGCCGAACCGAATGCCAGCAAAACGGACCGACAATGCCCCCCCCCCCCCGCTTCAACAGTGGCTATGTTGCCCAATAATTGGCAGTGAGCGAACGACGGTTCTGACCCTTCACTTCTTTTCCATCGCTTTTTCAACGATCCCGCAATCATTTGGATCAGCTTAAAAATAAGCTTTTTCTAGCTAATAGTTGCGCAAAATTCTAATAAAGATGATTTTTTTAACCGTACCGGTTTATTGGGAAAAATCAGACTTTACCTGTTAAAAAGCCCCCTGATAACAGTCCAGTACCTAGACAGAAAGATTCTGCATCTCCATCTGCTAAGCCTTTCTCTTTCTCACATCCGATGCTCAATTAAAAAAGGCTCGCAATTTTTTAAATTCCGGAAGTACCAGACGCCATATCTGCACAAATCGAATCGGCAGATTACGCGATTGACGAGTGTCGTCTCCTTGTTCTCTCCCGAAAAAGGACTGAATGAGGGGGGAGGCACAGCGTCGTCCCGATTCATCCCCCAGCTCGGCCGGCGATTAAGTCCCTTCTTCGCCTCGTGCTCTATGTGCGTCTCCCTCTCTCTCTCTCTCTCTCTCTCTCTCTCTCTCTCTCTCTCTCTCGCCATTCGGGTCGGCCTCCACCTCCGCTTTTTCCACTTTTTCGCCCTTTTTGTTTGTTTTTCTGCCCCCCCCCGTGCCCCTGCCGCAGACAGCCGGTCGGAGCGTGGGCCTAATCTGAGCTTCCTGGCTTGATTTCACTCGACGGGAGCTTGGGAATTTTGGAGGGATTCGCTGCAGCCATTCATTGCCATATATATATAGCCTGTTTTTCACTGTTTTGTAAGGGATAGTCGACGTAATTAAAGCGGAAACCCGTATGCAAATTTTTAATTTTATCCTGACTTTTCGCGCGTTTCTAGTAGTCGTGGCCGTCCCGGGTTTCCTTGGTCACAAAACGCGAAACGCGAGGAGGGGCGCGCGTATCCGGCCCGATCAAAAACGGGGAAATCCAATCGAGTCGAATCGACAACAATCCGCGGCGGGCCCTCCCTCCTTCCGCCCGTCGGATTTCTAGTGTTTATCTCACCTTCCAATCCCTCGCTTTCGCCAGTCCCCCCTCTCGTCCTTTCCCCCTCAATACTATTTACCGCCTATCACGAGCCAATCCTGGGCCAATTCGCCCGAGCAATTCGGCGCTTATTAGGCAAGTTGATGGCGGGCGCCCGGGGGGGGTCTCAACGGGCCCGGCTCTCTGGTCCATATTCACAAATTCTGTATAGTAACTACAGGGTGTCCCAATAAAAAACACCTGCCTCTAACACGACGTAGAAGTGTAGGATCGAAACGGAACTTACACCATTTGAAAGCCCTTGAAACGACGAGTTTGCAACAGTCTTCAAAACCATGTTTTTATTGCAGACCACTCTTTTACAAGCCATTTTGTAAGGTTTTTCGGGGTGACATACGAGCTAATTTGAAGTGTCCAGAAGCAGCTGTTAATTAGATTAGACCGTTACTTAATATTTTTGCTATCGGTATAAAACGGTGCGTTTTAATAAAAACATGGTTTTGAGCATTGTTGAAAACTCGCGGTTTCAAGGGCTTTCGAACGGTGAAGCTGCCGTTCCGATCCGATTCTTCTCCGGTGAGGTAGAGAGGGTGTTTTCTATTGGGATACCCTGTATCTAAAGATATTTCGCCGACACTATCTCAACCCATTGCAGGAACCCGTCGTTCAACGCCAACACTAAAGAGGGGCAGTGGGCGGCACTGAAAATGATCATGGCTGAGAGGGCGGCCGACTGTCTGGCCAAGGTATGGCTTTCTAATTTAGGCGGTTCTCAATTTTTCCGCCGTTCCTAATGCCATTCCATTGAATTAACGTCGTTACTCGACACTTTTCAGTTGGGATTGGACAGTACACCATCGGCGCCGTGCGCGTCCACGTCACCGACACAACCTGCCGCCCAACATCTTCAGCAGCCCACCTTCGGGCACCATCGGAGGTAAGCCATTTGTATGAACTATCTTAAAACACAATTACGGTCCTAACACCTAGATTTAGATGTCGAAGTTTACGCGAGCGAACGGGCGTCGACCATCGTCTGGAACGACTCCCCTCAGGGCCGGCCATTTTCCGCACACCGATCTACACGGTGATGCCCGGCACGAACACCAACAAAAGGTAAAGTTACTCTCCTACGTACATTCCCTACTTCCTGGCGCCTCTAATTGTAAGCAATGTTACGCTTTTCAGCCGCCCCGTCCGCATCCAAGACTTTGCGGAACATGTGCGAATGATGAGTGCCGACTCGGACTTCCGATTCTCGGAGGAGTACGAGGTGGGCAAAGGCTTATATAACTGGCTTCGTTCGGGTCTAATAGGGTCGCAGAACTTCGCCCGGATTTTTATAAAGTGGCTTCGTTTTAGGCGGATACAGTATGGATAGGTTTTAAGGGTGCCAATTTGGGTAAAAAATTCTCAATGTCAAGTTTGACGATTAGTGAAAATACTTTTTTGTCCGACAAAGTCCGATTGCTAGAGCTTAGGGGGGGATATTTTAGGGGAGAAGCCCCAACACCCCCGCATTTCGCCTAGCTCCCATGGGGATCAATTCAGAGCATCAGGGTGTAGTGAAACCCAAGTGTCAACAGGCCATGCCAGAATTATCCGTGGGGGAAGCCTATCTAACAACCCTGATTGCAGCAATTGAAAAACGTGGGCCTCGGCCAGAGCATCTCGGCGGCCGAGCTGACGGTGAACCGCGTGAAGAACCGGTTCACCAACATTCTGCCCTACGACCACTCGCGCGTCAAGCTCGTCAAAGCCGTCGACGATGAGGGCGCAGACTACATCAATGCAAATTACATGCCGGTCAGTTGGTCGATCTCGTACCTTTACCAATCAGAACCTCGAGTTTTCAAAATCTCGAATCTTCAGAATCTCGAGATTTCCATAGCATGAATGAACATTAACTGCAGAAATTGCACGCCGATGCGCTGCATCCAGTCTATGCAAATTCCTATACATTGCAACGACTAAAATTCTGTTTAGGGCATCAACTCGCGGCGCGAATTCATCGCGGCCCAGGGCCCGCTTCCCTCAACGCGTGACCATTTCTGGCAGATGGTGTGGGAGCAGCAATGCCCATCCATCATCGCGCTCACAAAATGCGTGGAAAAGGTTGGTGCTCTACCTTTCTGTGCTAATCATTTCATCGCTTGGCCAAACATGACTTTTTTCTGCAGGGTCGCGATAAATGCCACCAGTACTGGCCAGATGCGGAGCACGTCAGCGTGCTTTATGGAGACATTGAGGTAAATCGTCGCAAGTTACCAAATAACCAGGATATATCTAACATTGAGAAGTTCAAAACTGATCTCTTCAGGTGACCCTGATGTCGGAGCAGCAGTACAACGAGTTTGTCGTGCGCGAGCTACGGCTATGTAATCTGGGCGAGAACACGCAACCCCGCAACGTGCTCCACCTGCACTACATGGCATGGCCTGACTTTGGTGTACCCGAACATCCCCAAGGCATCGTCAAGTGAGTCGAGGACACGAAGCAGCTCAACGGATGCATTTCAGCCTTGCCCGCCTCTTCCGACATCGCATCCCGCATAGTCCACACAACAAGCCAACCATCGTCCATTGCAGGTGGGGGCTTGGCAGCCTTTTTCAAATGGGCTGGGAAGTCAAAAATCGCGCTTGCTGGGCTTCAACCTACCGGTCAAAAAACGAAGGGTTATTGCCAAGGAGTCCCATAACAGTGATTTCCTTGCAAAAAACGCAAACTATTTGAATAAAACCGAAAAGTTCTCGAGATAAAAACGACTTTTTGAGTAGGCGGCGATTAAGTGTCGTAATGTCCTGTAAGACGCCCCATCCCTCGATCTCCGTGATTCTCTGATCAATTTTCATAATTAAAACGCCTAAAATGACCAAAATTCGGCGAGGATTCCGGAAATACTTTTAGACATTTTAAATTCAAGCATTTTTACGTCCAATCGGAGGAAAAAGACCATGTGGCGCGATCACGTTGCGGTATCTGGCTATTTGCCAGGAATCAACGCTGAGGGACGTGGGCCAGATTTTGGAGCCCCTTTAAACACGCGAAAATTTTAAACAAACGCATCTCTTTCAGTGCTGGTGTCGGGCGATCGGGTACCTTCATGGCATTTGACCGGCTGGTCCGGCAAATGAGCCTCGAGATGCCGATCGACGTCTTCGGCACCGTGCACGAGATGCGTCTCGAACGCTGCAGCATGGTCCAGAATGAGGTTTGTACAGGCTGCGACAGTGTCGCCCTTCTTCTGCGTCCAAACGAATCGGCTTTTCAGCAACAATACATCTTCATCCACCATTGCCTATTGTTCGTGCTGCAGACCGGGTTGCTGTCCGACTGGAACCAGCCGATATCCACGATTCTCCTCGGCGGGCACGAGTTCCACAACGGGCATACCGGTGCGTAGACAGGTGTCCAAACAAGAGAATTCAAGCTTACGTATCGTATCAACCGCATCCATGAAAGGAAATCCTACTAATATAAAACTACTATATATAAAGAAAATAGTGTAGGTGTGTTACCAGTTTGCATCCACGTCCGTAACGTTTTTCCAGTCATATCTCAATAAGGGTAGAAATTTATGGGATGTATGATACGTCTTTAGGTGCGTAGTAGTCTCGAGATGACGGCACACATATCCGATTTTTTAAAATCACCCATATTCTATATTAAATTTAAGTTTTTATGGCACGCTCTTTCTTGGGGAACAATTAGTAGAGACCGGAAGTATGGAGTCGACTATATAAAGGGGTAAAAATGGTAGTTTTTCATTTTTTGCCGTCTGAATTCGGGTATGAATATGCAAAGTGAAGACTCACATCCATCCTAGATGGGGCCAGGGTAGATCAGACCGCTGGAGGCAAATTAAAAAATTCACAAATTCCTTAAACCCATAAATACAACAGTTATAGGAACCCGCGGCGAGATGCATCAGAATCAGGCTTTTGTCGAAGACGATGAGGGCATTGCCGAGAGCGGCTTTTAAAAGACCCCCGATCAGATCCCAATTTCCGAACCCGCCCCAAATCTCGACCGAAATGAGCTTGTCCTCGATATGCATACCCTCAGCCCAGCCATCATCTCCACATCCAGACCTCTCCCCTTTTTACTGATCGTCTTTCATCATAACAGCTATTTCCTTAACCTTCCAGAGTATATTGTCGGGTCTTCCCCCGGTACTAAACTGTCAAAATCACCCCCTCCCTCTCGTCTAAACAATCATGCTTCCCTAAAGCGCAAAATCTTTTGACGGGTCCTCTCATATGGTTAGTTTTCCTTTACCTACAGCCTGTGGTACTGGACTGTTATCAGGGGTGGGGAATTTTAGCAAGGTCATATAACAAATAATAAACTATTTTTATAGTATTTTACACCGTTTTTACTATAAAAACTCGTCAAAATCTATGACAGTGTTCGAAAATTTTGACTTGAGTTCAAAATTATACGAAAAACAATCAAAAATGCTTTTCGGAAGACCGCGTTTTCAAAAACGTCTAAATATTTTTTTCTAACTTTCTAGCAAATATAAGCTATAAAATACTCTGTAAAAATATACTACTTATGATTAAAAGGTAGGCCTAGCTGGAAAAACAAAACTTTGTCCCCCCCTACTGACAGTTCAGTACCCACTCTGTGCCCGCGTTTGGCTACAAATTCCTGTTCTGACCCCACATTGTGATATTCCCCCCAGATCGGTCAATCGTTGTCCTCATCGAGTTTAGCAGAAATTGCTCTCGCATTCCCCCGTAAAGATGTATCTATTTGTTCCTGGTATATTCAGTACATTGTCAAAGTTACCTGCATAAATACAGAGTACTTAATTAACCAGAAAGTTACAGTCGCTTCGCGACTGCAACCATCTGGCCTTCGGGCTACCCTACATGTCCCACTCCACCACATCCTTTCCCACCTCCATCAATACCCCCATAGCCGAAATCCCGTTCAAAAACTACCTAAATACCTTCCTGATGGCTTCAGATACCCCCCCCCATGGCTGAAATCCCCTTCAAAAACTACCTAAATACCTTCCCGATGGCTTTAGATGATTTAAATAATTAATTAACATAATTAAAAAGTATTAAAAAGTATTAAAGTAACTTAAAAAAGGCTATCTGGGCGCGCGAAGGGGCCTGGGGAAGAGGGGCGAAGGGAAAGGGGGCGTGGCCTCCCGGGAGAGGGGCCCCCATTCGTTTTATTAAGGCGCCACTTTCAAAGTTAATTTTAATAATTTAAAAGTACAACTTTTTCATAATTTTTTATCAGTTTGGGGGTTTCTGACCACGCTCTATCCGAATCCGAAGAGAGCTAAGCTCTAGCTCCTTTCCCCTTCTAGTTGAATCCGGGACACGACAGACAGACAGACGGACGGACGCGTCAAGAAAATTATTATAGTTGATGTTGTTTATCGTACGCCGGAGTTAAGAGATATTTACATTGTGAATGGGCGAGTGTAAAGCGTGGGTATAATATTGCAGTGGGAGGTGAGCCCGTCTAACCGCGATGCATCAGAGTGGAGGCAAGACCGCAGAAGTTCTTCAGAGAGCTGAAAAAGACACGGTATTTGCCGTTGACGGAGGGGGGCTAATTTTTATTTTTTTCCACCCATACGTACCTGCTGATAATAAATAGTGTATTTTACCAATTTTTTGACAGTTTTCAGGTGCTAGAAAACTATTAAAAAATCGAAAATACCAAATTTTGTAGCTTTTTTGATCATTTTTCATTGATTTTTTACCAAAAACCAAATGTTAAAAATTTCTTTAGTAAAATCCTATAAAAATGGTGTATATTTTGTTACCAGCGCTGACCCCCCGCTACGCGGGGGTTCAGCGCTGGCCCTTCCTCCCCCCGCCACACTTTGAATTTGCAAGTTGAATGCAAAATTTGGCTGAATTCCCGGTCGGACGGGCAGACGGACATTAGAAATTTACCAGGGTTGAAAAACCGCTTCGCGGCTTTTCAACCCTGGCCCCGTCTAGGACCTACGAAAGTATTGACTTTGCATAATTCTGGCCCAAAACCGATCACCAAAAAATGAAAGGCGCGCCCTCTCTTCCTTTTTATAAGGGACCTCCACTTCCGGCGTATGCTAATTGCTTCCTAACAAAGAGGGAGGCCAAGATTTTTACAAAAACCTAATTTTAATAGCGTAAATGGCAGTTTTTCAAAGATTTTATGTGCGTGCAGTAGATTCAGGCCCCTTCTTTACCTAGTGACGTTTCTTCCCTACCGAAAAAATGCTTCCCTGAGGCTGTAGGTGCGGAACATCCACACGGAAGTGCATGCAAATATACACACACACACACAAACACTATTTTTTTATATATAGTAGGATATATAGTAGATAGGGTCGTACGGAACTACTGGGAAAAATTTAAGTTGCCCCCCCCCCCGTTAAAAGGAAAGCACCAACGACAGATGCACAAAAAAAGGAAAAGGCACCGACCTAACACCAGCGTTCAGCATGCAGTAGCACTTTGAGGCGGCAGCGGTTTCAATCTGCTTGAAGCACTTCCGGGCAATCGGCCTGATTTGAGCCTCGTTGACCGTGGGCTGGCAACTAAATTCAGTGTAAACTACGGGGATCTGTTGACGTCACTTACCGGAGCTGGTCGAAGCACCGGTCGGGGCTCGAGCGCACGAAGCAGTTCAGCGAACAGACTCCAAAGTCGATACCGGCGCTGGCTACCGGCTAGAAAATTTGAGCTTACAGTTTTGTCCTAGGAAGCTCGTACCTTGACCATCTTCAGCGCCGACGAGCTGGTGAGCGCGTTCTTCTGGGTTTGCACCTGCAGGGCAACGGTCGAGTAGAAGCGCTGGTAGTTGTAGCGACGCGTCTGACCGGTTTTGCCGCAACTGGAACATGATATTTTGTGGAATTCGTCAAAAGGGCTTACGTGAAAAGTTGCGAAGTGACGCAAGAGACGACCTGGTTGGTTGTACCCTGGTCGAGACAGCTCTTCAGGGCCTGTGGGGTGGGGGTCACCTGGAATGGGAGGTTAAGTTTAGATCCAGAAAGAACCAGGAGAAAGCCACCAAATTTTTTTTCTTAGGTTTCTAAATGGTTTTTTTACTATTCCTAAGAGTAAAAACTTTACAAATTACCTCTAAAATTGCTAAAAATGGCCGATTTTTTACCAAAACTTCGACTTTTTCAACGATTTTTAAGTTTGTTAGAAAGTTTTTCTAGCTTAAATATATTTACGTTTTACGAAAAAACTAGTAAAAATGTTGCTATTAAGTTACCAAACGTTTCTAGACTTATACGAAAAAGTTCGGTCCCCCCCCCCCCCCCCCGATAATGCGAAAGAACCGAAACCAGATCCCAGCCGACCTTGCCGAAGGCGCCATAGCACTGGGCGCTGCACCGGTTCATCGTCTGCACATCTTGGGCGATGCACCTTTGCATCTCTTGGCAACTGCACTGCCGGATCATACCAGCCGTACGCGACGCGCCGACGGCTTGCAGCATGATGTTCACGCCCTGAAAAATTTAAAGCTCATCTACATTTGCGAAGTGAGACTTCTGCAATTTCTAGACGCAACGCACCTTGTCCACCAAAGCGCTCTTCTTCGCCTCGACGGCCGCGACCAAAAGCAGCAACAGGGCAAAGCGGAGCATGTCTGTAAGTTTATGCGGTGAACGGTGGCAGGTAGAGCCTGGCGTCCCCAAGATAAAACGGCCCTTAAATACCGGTGGCTTAATTCGACGGGGCAAACAACAAACAGTTGGAGGATCTTGTTTTCAGGTTCGCGGATAGGTTTGGGCGGGGGGGTGGGGTCAAAACGGAGGCGCAAACAAGGCCATCTTTGGCGCATCCTTGAAAACTACTTGTAGTGGCTCCTTGTAGTTGTTATTTTAGTCGATAATACGGTCGTTGGTATCCAGTGGACCGGAAACCGCCGGCTGTTCGCAAAGCGGGCTTGAATTTCAGAATTTAGCGCTCGGAAAGAGGAACACTATGGGGCAAAATGATTCGGGTTCGTTATCGGGGGTGGGGGGGGGGACATTTTTTGTGAATAGCCTCTCTTTTCTTAAATTACATTATTTTGAACTGTATATAAACTCCTTAGTATATTTTTTGATGTTCGATCGAACCGCGTCAACAGAATGTCGAAAAATCTCGAAAATCCGTAAAATTGGCTGACCAACCCAATTTTCAGGGTTATTTTTGCCTTTGTTATAAATTTTTTTAATTATGGTGTTTTGAACTAGAATTAAAATACGTGGAATTTTTTTTTGATGCTCTACCGGGTCGCAAAGATGTTGTTCCCCAAAAAAGAATGAAATATTCTAAAACTACGAGATTAAAGCCCCTCCCAATAAACTCCCTCTCTCCCGCTAACGAACCAGAACCGTCAAGTAAATCGTTGACTACAGAGTTCTTGACACGGGAGGCGCAGTAAGACTTTTACGTCCGCTTTCGACCCCCTGAACTGCTAGATATAGGTGTTCAAGTGCCTGACCAGTCTCCAGTTCGCCCAACCTGACGTGGGGCGGCTTTTTGGTGAATACGTCCTTGAAGGCTGTCAGGGCTGAACCAGGTTTTGGCTGCACGTGTGAAAGGGAGCAAAAAACAAAAAGCGGAGCCCCGAATCCTACATTTTATGCGTATTTAAGTGTACAGTTTGTCGAAGTTTTATTTTGTCACAATTTTGTTAATTAAATGTTTGTGACTTTTGTCGGATGTTTCAGACTCGTGAAATGTGTGAGATGAATAATCGATGCGAAAAAGACATTGAAAGTTCAACAAAACAATATTTTGAAAAAGTGAATTCCGACAAAATGAAAATCCTTGTTTATCGCTGGTACACGAATACATACACGATAATTCTGCGATTCCATTAGTGCGTCGACATGAGCCGTAAGATTGGGCAGAAGCGGTTGAGCTCACTAAAAAAGTTATTTGTCGTTTTTGGAAAGCAATTGAATTGAGTAGCACGTATTTATAGCCTAGTCTTCAGGCGAAATTCTACCTTACTCCGGCCGCCATCGCGCAGTCGCACAATTGGCCGACGTGCACCTTCCAGTTGATGCGTTTCATGCATCGTTTCAAGCCCTTGCGCGCCTTTTTTTCTTCAAAGACCGGGTTGCACCTAGGTGCTTGGTTCATAAGTTCAAGCGCGTGCCAAACCCTTTGCGGTCAAAGCACGTGCCGGCAGCGTTTTCCTGCGCTGCACAGCTTTCCACGCACAAGCCAAAGTCCATCACAGCGTTAGCGAAATTCTGAAGTTCACGTAGCATGGCTTGTGGTCGAGAACACTAACTCGAATGCTCTTCAATGTGGATGAGCTCAGAATGTCGGCGCGGCTGGCCTGCAGCCTCGCGACACCATTCTGAAGCACGCGCCGGAAGTCGTAGTGGCTGACCTGAGGTTGGGCTGCGTTGTTGGTGCAACTGAAAAGTTTAGGTTTGGGTACTGGACTTTTAGCAGAGGGGGGGGGGGGGTAGCAGGAGCCGAAAAATAATTTTTATCTCCGCCGAATGCCTCCCTGTTAATAATAAATCAGGTCTTTTTTTTTTAAATTTTGTCGTATTTTTGATTTAGCAAGTTGCAAAAAATATTTTAAACATTTTTATAAGTTTTTTGACAAGCATCTAATATCGACAAACTGTCTAAAATGCTATATTATATATATTTTGTTTTAGGACCGCAAAGGAAGACTGTTTGTTTGTTTGTTTGTTAGAAAGAGCGTACCTTCCGGATTCCTTAATCACGCACTGCAAGAAATCCTGAAGAACGCCGGTCTTCTGCTGGATACAGCCATGCAGCGCTCGTGGATTCGAGGCAACCTGGAATAATATACATGGAACAAGTCCGATCCCTTCAAAATGACCATACCTTATCAAATGCATAGTAACAGCCAGGGGTGCACGACAATGCTTGACCGATGGCTTCCTTCCCACATACCTCCTCCTTAACAAAATTTTCCAGTAAATTTTGAAGTTGTACCTCGTTACATCGGCACTGTCTGATCGTGCCTGGATACCTCGACTGCTCCAAGACTTCCATTGCAATTTTTGTCACCTGCCAACATTCCGTTAACTTGCCAGTCTTAATGAATATACTTTGTCCATCTGGCTTTTTGCGGCGACGATTCCGATCAACAATACCGATACCACGATCCTCTTCATAGCTCGACTAAAAGTCTCATAAAGCTATGATTTGGGTTTACTGGGGGGTATATAGGTGTATTTTGCCATAGACCTTATTTGCACTTTCAGGATCGATAAACTCCGTAAAAAAACGCATAGAAACCTCAGTTCCGTTCCGGTACCAGGAAAAGACGCCCAGTCTGGATGGGCAAAACAAAACGTCATGAGTTCGACAAACGTATCCCCCCCGACCAAAGCGAGAGAAAGGGGTTTATCGGCGGCTAATTGTAAAATGTTGTTTTTCGAGCGTAATTGATGGCATCGTCCACATTGTGACGAATTTCACGGGGGGGACAAACCAAAAGGTTGATTGATTCCGCAGCCAATTTTTTAGTTTTTAGAGGAATATGCATTTTATGCCAGCTACACAGTTCCATAAATAACCGCAATTTTTTTTCCGGAATTTTTTGACGTAGAGAAAAATGTCTGAACGCGATGGTAAGGTTAGTTTTTGAAAAATCAGGGCGTAAGGACTAGATATTAGGCATTTAGGCAAGTCAACTTTGAGCAAAAACCACTTTAAAAATGCTATAACTTTTAAGGAAAGCTCTTCGGCAAAATCAGAGAGTAAAGACTCGTATTTATTTTGTATTCTCTACTGAATCGTGTATTATTGGTGACAACACCCGGTCGAACTAAAAAACCTGCCCTCGCAAGAAGCAATAATGAACAATAACCTTAATAAACGACAGAAAGTAAACTGTACGTTACAAAATTGAGCGCGCATGTGGCGATGTTTTTCGATGGGAAATGCATTGTGCGTTTGGTCCTTTCTCTCGTCGATAAGAAGAGAACTCCCCGCCGGTTTCTCTCGCCACAATAAGGGGCTCAGCCAGCCTAACTCGATGTATTGAAAAGTGCTTCCACGATTCTCACGAGTTCGAAAAGTTATTTGCTTCTGATTTCGATTTTCATTTTGTTTGAACTAGAGTAAATTCATCATCGGGAAAAGCAGTCGGTCGCATTCGGCTCGTCTTTATGCATCGAAATACGCGATTTATTTTGCTGTAGGTTGTACCGATGCTCCATTAATGCGTCGCCGAGCAATGCTGCTGAAAAATCGATACGGAAAGATATCACATTTATTCAAAACACACAAGATCCACAATGACTAGTAAGGTATCGAATAAATGTCAGAAATTTAACGAGCCTTAAAAAATGAATACTTGCGAGACGGGGGAGGGAATGATTTTTGAAAGATTGGCAGTGAACCACAACAACCGTAACCCGAGAAAAAGACAAAAAAAAATACAATACATACACACGATTAACCTACGCAGAATTAATGAGCATCACATCGTAATTGCAAGGAGCACCAATTCTATACAGCATATGAAAAGTGGGGGGGATTCTAAAGTGTTCTGAGCTTCAACGATTCGCGCCAGCGGACAGTGGGCTTGTGGCGCACACGACAGCACGACGGCATGCAAATGAGGGATTCACAACAATGGCCCTGGCGTAAAATCGAGGGAAACGCGCGTAAAATTAGGCAATTTTGAAAAACAACATCACGTTTACCCATAAATTGTTCACGCGCTCCTTAACGGAATTGTTTCGCGGGCTATCCGAGATGCTATTAATACGATGGTATACATGTGATTCAAAAGTTACATACAAAACGTCTTTAGAAATATTGATAACGGGAGAGGAAGAGATATCCGGCTGCGGCACCGGCGGCTCCCATAACGGCCAGCTGGATGGCATACCTTGGGAGCTTCGTGCCACGCGGCCGTTTCGAATCAGCAGCATCGACGAGCTTCAGGTAATTCTCCAAGTATCTCCCTAGAAGCAAAGTAAATGCTCAATACAGCGTCGCATACCTTTAAGTGTTAGCGGCGGCATGAACTTCATCAGGTAGTTGGCGTCTCCGATCAATTCGTCGATTGGCAGTTCGTGTGGCATATGGTTGAGGCAACCATGCAGAAATGGCATCTCCCGCTCGACGGAGAGTACGGAAGAGCGTCTGAAAATTGTATTGTTAACTCGTACAAAAACCCAGAAAATTCGTTGTCTTTTAGGACGGCTTTTAAAACCTTGATATTCGACTGTTAGCGGGGGAACCTCTTTTTGTTGTTTTGGACCGATACCTACCGGTTGATGTATTTCTATAGTGTTTTTAGTAGTTTTTGTTTGCTAGAAAGTTATGTTTTGTTTTCTGTTCGTAGGCAATCACAGCGAAAAAGTCGCCGCCCCCCGCTAACAGTCCAGAACCACAACCCTTACCGATACAACACGACAGCAGCTGATAAATAAATTGGGGCGATAGGATGAGAGGCCAAAAAGAGATCGAAGCAACGCACAATCTATAAATGATATATCGTCTATTACTAAGATATACCTGATGATAGTTCTGCAACGAGTGAGAAAACCAAGTGAGCGGCCAGCTGAGTGCAAATAGGCTGCCCAGATTTACACCCCGCATCACCTAAAGCATTCGAAGAGCCGCTAGAGCACGATACCTGTTCGATTTCCGCGTCACAGCGCTCGAGTATCACGTACATCAATTGGAGCTCTTTCAACTAAATCCAACCGTTCAAAGATATCGATCAAAATCACGAACCACGCTACTTTCCAGGGATTTGAGGAGGTAGTTGCGGAATGAACCGCCGGTAGACAATTTCTTCCCGACTTCGAGCGCCTTCTCCTTACCCAATACGAGCAGCAAAGTCAGTAGCACATCATGAAAGCCTAAAATTACACTAATCACGATCAGTTAAAGCACGCACCTTGATAATAATTGAAGCGTGGGTTTGCGGCCAGAATTTCGACGATCAACGGCGTCAAATCATCCTGAAGTGTGACGCGGTGGTCCTCAGAAATATCGGGCGGGAAGCGAGCGAGCGTTCTGTAAAAGATAAAGTGATTTCACAGGCAAGCAAAATCGAATTCCCGGGAAAGGACCGACCTATTGACGTCGAGTTCAACCTGCCGCCACTCCCGGTGCTCTTGGAGAGAGGCCAAATCCGTCTCGACTTGACTGGAGACTGGCTGAAACAGAGAATTTGAAAATGACTCCATATTTCAATCATATCCATCAAAACCAGCCAACTTACCGTATTCCGATCGTCGTCTTCAGTTGGTAGCTCCGAAACGGCCGACTCAAAATCGGACTCGCTTGTCGACAGACTCATTGTGCTGGCGTAGAGCTCCGCCTCGTCCTCGTCTTCTACCACCAAATTCGCAGCAAGAATCGGCCAGATTTCAGCACTAAAGTTGATCATAAATGGAACGTCCGACAACGCAGGTGTATTAGTGAAAAAAGCGCACCGAAAATCGTCGTCAATGAGACCACCAGGCGAAACAGCAAAATGTCTGAGCTCATCGATGTAGCCGTGCAGCCCTTCCTTTCTGTGCTTGTTGAGGAAACGCGCAATGGCTTTCCGCTTGTCACCGAGTGCCCTCCATCTAGCGACCCGCAGAGGGTCGAGCTCCTAAAAAGGTGAAATAAAGCCCATATAAAAAGCTATCTAATCCCAAAAGACTCGACAAAATAGCGGAAATTTGGGAACTTCCGGGGTAAGGTAAAGTGTCTAGCCTACTGAACTCTTACCTCATCCATTTCGTCACTGACGTCATTGCAAGAGGTGACCAATTTGCTTGTATGTCGTTGACTTTTGCGTCGGTGTGGAGTGTTTGGAGCGGAGATCGAGGGCATCGGCTGAAAAAAATGAAATTGGAATGGGAAAGAACCATCAGATAAAATGCAAAACGGCCGACCGGGCCGCGACGGCGACGAGCGGATACAGGGCATGAAAGTGAACGGTTTAGGGATATGTAAAGATGTAAGTTGCCAGGAAAATGCAAATCTGCGCCCGGGTATTGACTCGATCAACAATTGTATGAAGAAACGATTGGCAAGTACACTCGTCCTATGGATTCGTGCGATGGCGAGTCAACCCGACGCATGTGTTGTAGTTTGTAGCGCGCGCCAATTTCGTATGCTAATAGAAAGAACATTGCCATTGATGCGCTGCTCCCCGCCCAAAACACTAATAAAACAAATCAATTAATCAACTACCACCCATCTGACAAGGCTCATGAAACAGCACCCCCGATTTATTGCCCTAGCCTATGAAAACGAATTGGCGTTACATTCTTCTATGTCTGGCCGCGATTTGCGTGTTCTGGGCCCTTCTACACGTCCTAAATCAAAAACCCAAAACTGAAAAAGCAGCCCTACCCTCAAAGCTACCCAACTTTGTCGATGTTATTAATTACGGGGATTTGGAGCGGCTGAGAAGGGCGCGGTAAGTGGGTTTTTACCTCTAGTCTGTTGCTGCAAAGCTAAAAATTCGACATATTTTAGGAGACAGACTCGAGACCAAGATGGGCGCTGTTCATTTGATAAATGCTTTAATTTTTCGAGGTGCCGCGCTTCCAGGAAGGTCTATGTTTATCCTGATCCGCCAGGATTGCAACAATCAACCGTTTACAGCAATATCCTGAAGGTAGCGATCTGGTAACACATATTTTTTCATTATTTTATTTAATAACTTTTATTTTTTAATATGAAGTCGGATAGGTAAGGATCAGAAGAAATCCTACAGTGACACTTTAAAAAAATCTTTAAAATGCCATTATAGGCGATCCGACAAAGTCCTTATTACACCAACAACACTCGTGATGCCTGTCTTTTTGTTCTCTCGTTGGATACAATCGACCGAGATCAAACTAGGTATTTCTGTAAAAACAATTTGCTCATCACCATTTAGCAAAAACTACGTCCGTTCCCTGCAGACGTACATCGACGCGTTGCCACGCGACTTATGGAATGACGGCGAAAACCACATCATCTACAACCTATATCACGGGACGTGGCCTCACTACTCGGAACTGGACATTGGTTTCGATGCCGGAAAGGCTATCCTCGCTCGGGCTTCTGCTAGCGAAGAGGTTGGTACCCTTTTCATACACATACAGTTGTGACCTTGCGTTTCTGTTTCAGAATTTTCGTCACGGATTTGACCTGTCGTTTCCTCTCTTCCATCCGCAGCATCCGTTCTCGGTTCCCGCTGAGGTAAGTTAAGTTTAAAGAGACGGTTTCAAGGTCAAAGATGAATTAAGTACAAAAGCAGACCCTCCAGTGTCTCGGTGTAAAGTTGGGGACCTACATGAAACTGTAAAGCTTCTACTTCAAGCACCAAAAGACTATGCTATAGCTTTTGTCAGCGGTTTTCAAAATCCGAAATTGAAATATTTCACGACGATCTAGGCCAACTTCTCCACACGCCCCGACGAGCAATACCTGCTCTCGTTCAAGGGCAAGCGATATGTCTATGGGATCGGATCGGAAACGCGTGATTCCCTATATCACCTTCACGACGGTCAGCGTATAGGTTGGTGGAGTCGATTCTAGGTTTTGGATTAGCTTTTTAATACAATCACAATCTGTTCAGCCATGGTCACCACCTGTCGGCACAACACTGATTGGCAAAACTATAAAGATGAGCGATGCGAGCAAGACAACGAGCGTTACGACCAGTGAGTTATACTCTTACACTTCAGGTATATTACAAATTCAGGTGGGACTATCAACACCTGCTGAACAACTCGTTATTCTGCCTGACGCCTCGGGGACGTCGGCTCGGTTCCTTTAGGTTCTCGTAGCTTCACCGCAGTGAATTTTGAGGCTGTTTCAGATTTCTCGAGTCGCTAGGCGCCGGCTGTATTCCGGTGGTTTTATCCGACAATTGGGTACTGCCGTTCACCGAAATCATCGACTGGGATACGGCCGTGATCCGGGTATCTGAGAAGAATGTGCTGCTTGTAAGTGCCTTCGCGGTGCTGGGCTGTTATCGGGGGAGGGGGGAGGGGGGGGCTAGCGGGGAGGGGAACCAAATTTTTCCCTGTGATTCTCGACGGCCCGATAACAAAAATAAACCATTTTTACAGCATTTTACATAGTTTTTAGATAAATATTTTGGAATTTTAAAAATCTTATTTTATAACTTTGTAGCAATCAAAAAACTGCTAAAAACACTATAAAAATACATAATATATCATCAACGATAGGTATAGGTAGAAAAAAATAAAGAGATTTTCCCCCCTGTCTAAAAATGTCACCCCCCCCCCCCCGCTAACAGTCCAAAACCTCCTTCGCATTTTTTTTACGAGCCGTTCAGACACCCGACGTGGTATTCTCAATCCCTCGACGTCGCATCGAAACGATGCGGCGAGCAGCTAAGATGCTGTACCATCGATATTTTGCCAGTGTGGAACGGATAGCGAATTCTTCACTCGAGGTATCGGACAATCTGAAAACACCTTCAACGCTTGTAGATTATATTTGCACGACTCGATCAATCGACTGGATATCGTAACGATGGTGCATCAATCTCAACGCTTCCGAAATCCGAGCAACACCTGACGGCAGTCATCTTCACAACACCCGAGCTGTCATCAAGGCTGCAAAAGCTCGTCACCGAATTGGCGAAGCTTGACGGACTTCAGAAGGTTGGAAATAAAGTTTCTTTCGTATTCTCGGGGGGGGTGAACTTTTTTGTAAGCCTAGAAATGCAAGTAACATAATAGGAGGCGTTTTAATAGTGTTTTTGGTAGGATATAATTATATTGCAACGAGGAAAACTACAAACTTTGAAACATTTTTGAAAAATTCGACATTTGGGTCAATAATTGGGAATTTTTGGGCAAAAAATCTAGATTGTGAGAGACTTTTCAAAGTTTTTGCGCTTACGATAAGTAAAAGCCGTTTAGACAGTTTCTACTGTTTATATTCGAGAAATTAGATCTTAAGACAAAGCTGCCCCCCCGATAAACTCCCTCCCCCGATAATGCGAAAGAACCGAAAAAAAACAAGTCTTTGAAATCCTCGCATTTGCAGATTATAATCCTCTGGCACGTGGGACGGGGCACAACACCCGATGGGGCCGATTTTGGCACAAATGTCAAGAAGCAGTTCGTTCTCGTGAATACGGTAAGTGACGCATGGTGATCGCGGTGAAGCTCGTTTTTAGACGCAAAGCTGCCTGGCCTGCATCCCGAGCAATCTACTAAACGGCGCAGGAACTATCGTTTACTTGGACGAACGGCTGCGCAATTTCCCGCCCGAGTTGCCAAGGATGCTTCAGCTTCTCGGGGAGCATCCGACTCGACTCTTTTCAGCAACCACCTTTACGCATACGGTAGATAGCTTAATGACTCCATTTAGTCTAGTCGATCCACGCCTAGAATCTTTTTTTGTCTTTACAACCCTAGAATATCGGTTCTTTGGTTCTTGCTCGTTATCAGGGGGGAGGCGGAGGGTATTTTTTGTATGTGCCTAGCAAGCGTAGGAACGTAATTGGAAGTATTCTAAAAGTGTTTTTAAGAAAATGAAATCTTTCTAAAAATGTTCAAAAATATAAATTTTGCTAAAAAATGGCAAAAGAAATGTTGCACCGCCTTCCCCCCCCCCCCGATAATGCAAAGGAACCATTTCTTCAGGTCCAGAGTAAAAAAACAGTGACGAGGCATCTAAAAATCGCCTACCCAGCCGCTCTCGTATTTCACAGGTATTTCCTTGAAGCTCAAATCGATCGAAATCTTACAGTTCATACCTCACCAGCCATCATTTCCGAGGTTCATCCCCGCATTGCGATTTTGTGCGGCTGTCAAGTAAGTCGAATGGCATCTAATAAACCTTAATTTCTCGCGGAAATTCGAAAATTTAGTTGCCGCTAGCTACTTGAGCGAATCACCGCCGATCAGGGTTGGCCGGGGTGATGCTCAACAGTGGATGCAGCTTGAAGTTTTCGACGAATGTGCTAGACAAGCAAGTTTTAGGCTTTTTTTAAGGGGACGGGGTATAATGACAAATCTTCTCATTAACAAAAAAATTCATGTGCTCTTTCGCATTATCGGGTGGGGGGGTGAGTTTATTGAGGGGGAGACCGAACTTTTTTTGCTTAGAAAGTAGCTGTAGTTGTAATTTAGAAAAGCCTAATAACTTAATAAAAATTGTTTTAATAGTGTTTTTGGCAATATATGACTATATTACAACAAAAAAAGACTATCTATACCTTTAAAAAAGTCGAAATTTTAGTCAAAAGCGACCATTTTCGGTCGAAAAATTGATCTTGGATATTTTCGTAAAAAAATTGTGGAGTTTTTACGTTTAGGAATAGCAAAAACCATTTAGAAACACTTCCACTATGCATATTTCAAAAATTAGATCCTAGGAAACAAGTTGTTCCCCCCCACCCGATAATGCGAAAGAACCAATTCAAGAAATTCTTTGTTGTAAGCTTTATTGGTCACTTTAATCTAATCCTTCCAGCTTGCTCCATATTTCCCACCGGGTCTCCTGCTGCCACCAGCCGATCTCGGGTTACTGTAGTTTTTTTTTGTGGTTGGCAAAGCGTTTCCCTGTCCAAATACCGGTGCTTTATTCGATAAATTTGCTCATTGAGCCGATGGAAAGACAATCAACATGGTCGGGCAGATGAGTTCGCGTGGGGGTCACATTTCACATTAAAGCATCATAACTTAGAAAAAACCTTGTCAGAAATTCGGTCCTAGAGTGGTCGATATAATAGGACAACAAAAATTGGCAGTAGATTGAAGCGCGGCAGAGTGAATGCCGAATTTCCGGGATCAGTGTTGGACTTGGCGCTTCCGGGGGCCTGGGGTGAAGGTGGGTCGACGAGATTCTTCTCAACGTCATTGCCTGGGACTTCTTCTACCACCGGTTCTTTTTGGGAGACATTTGGGTCCTCACGGAGTCGCAGTAGGTTGTTGTCAACATTTTCGGTATTGTCCACCGGTCTAGCTATCGGCCTCCTGGCTGGTGTGAGCGGTTTCTCTTCTTCCATAATGGTTTCGATCAACTCTTTCGTGTCCTGGAATTAAGAGGATTACTCTTACGGTATATCGCCGATGATAATCAGAACGTTAGGCTGATACCTTGAAACATAAAATATAATAACGTTTACCTCTTCTGGTCTTCCTGGCACCGAGACGTGGAAATCCAGGACGGTTTGCCCTCGATTGACATCTACAAGCTTTGGATTAGCCACTTATGGGAAAAAGAGGATACTTAGAGCTACTCCTCTACCTACTTCCGTGATATTTCAGAAAATCGTCCGGATAGAACATGGAGTTTGTATGCCGAGAACCGGTTAGCGCCGATGGAGCCGCATGAGAGTAGGAACCCTAAAGAGTAAGTGACAGACTCGCCAGCACACCTGGGTTTGCCCTTTGGCCCAAATGACGTGCATCGGACCCGGGCCTAGTGGGTGATCGGTCGGCTCGATTTCTGGAAGTATCACAAGTCTTTTGATGTATGGTAAAACAAACCCTGGCTCCATCTTCGGAACATCACCACGGTTCTGCCATCGACTTCGATACCTGCCGCCCCTACCAACGAGTCCTCGCCCTCGTACCTGCCAAAAATGATGCGCTACTTACCGAAACCTACCACAAGTCATCAAGCGGTGTGCTCCGATCCCGGGAGTACATGTCCCGAATGAGGAGCCGGCCATCAATCACGGCCGCCGTCACCAAATCCACGCAGTCCATAGCGTGCAGCGGAGCGTCGAGGGCACCACGTACTGTAATATACATTTATCGACCATATCCACGCATTAGTGAAACAAGCCACCGAATATCCAGCACCGAAACTGATAAAAAACCCACGGAAGCCATTATTTTCCGGAAGCTTGGGTGCGGGTCCTTCTTGCTCCGCTGTTTCCGGTGCGTCCAGAAACGTGGGGTCTTCGATTAAGGATTCTTCAGGCAATATGGTTTCGTTGGCAGAGCGCTTTTTTCGGCTGACTCCTAGAGCTCAAATACGTCGTATCATAGCCTTTTTTCTACCTTCAAGGTCCGGAAACAGGCGGCAAGTGGGGGACAACTCTAGCGGGCGCCACCCCAACGCCAGCCACGATGTTGTCGCCATGTCGAGGATGATCTCGACGTCTTTCTAAAATTAACAATAAAATCCGCATACAATGCCAGCCCACATCAGACTTTCTGAAGTAGATCGTGTCGTTGTTCGGCAGTTCCTTTGCGTTATAGCACTCCGGGTTGAACATGCCGTACTGCGAGAACTTGTCGTTGTTCAGCGAGTCGTACCCGACACAGTCGTTCGTCTTGCCAGGGAATTCTGAAGTGATTTTTTAAACTTTTGCGTTTGATTGTGTTACTTCTCTGGCAATGGGTCCCGAAGAAACCATAGGGGCAGGCGCAGATTTTGCGGATTAGCTGGCCTGGTTGCTGGACGCAGAGGCCGGCTGGGCCGCAGTCACCATCTTTTTTGCATTCAACTAAATGTATTTTCAGAGAAGCTTAGAAGAATTCCGTCCTGAAAATGCGACCCAAACGTCGTCAATTAGCTAGCCATTACTGCAAAATCAGATAAACCCTTTCGCACCTTTGAACTGACACTTGTCGCCCTCCCATCCCCGGTTGCAGTCACACGAATCGTCAGCGAGCGGTGTGCCTCTCTGTGAGCATCTAAAAGTCACGCTCATTTGTTGTTAAGCCCGTCATACGCATCTTCGTCCTTTGGTAGCGCCTTCTCGACGTTGATGTCGGCACAGGAGCGGAACGTGTACGACAACCCCCATTCGAGCGCCTAGAAACCGCAGGGAAGTGGCGTTTATAAGCGTAGGCTCAGGCTTACTTAGGCTTAGGCAAAACGGTTTCATTTATTACCTGCCGTTCCAACAACAACGTACACTGCCGACAGGGTTTCTTGAAGACGACTTCGACACTTTGCGAAGTCTGATCCTCCATCCCGACAAAGTAGGTGCCGTTGTTCGTCAGGTACTCCAGCTCGCGCCCGTCGTGGTCGAGCAGCCGGATCCGGAAACCGCCCTTAATGTGTGAAATAATGCATTAAAGCACCAAAAAAATCTAACACCTACCTGATGTGGGTACTGCATCCGCCAAGTGACGTTCACCTTCTCGTCAACGGCGTACGGCGTGAATTCGGCTGAACAGGGGCAAATAATCAAGCATGGAGTACCAACCGCTGCGTGGCCTTGGCACCCCGCATGGGCCCTTCGTTCTGGCTGAGTCCAAGAAATCAAGCGGCGGATATCTAAGACGATCAAGATTACTGGTCCTCGACTTACCGGGCTGGTGGATTTGTGAGGCTCATGTGTGCTGCGACGAAGCCACCGTGAAATAGGAAGAGAACAGCCCATCGCATTCTGTAGAGGATGTATATGATATTATATTTTATGATTTATAGGAGTTTTCTCTAAAGAACGATCAGTTTGAGCCTGAGGTCTAGACAAGGCCACACGAATGAAAACACCCCGCAGCCCGAGCGTTGCGTGGTAAGAGGAAGGTCCCAAAACTTTTTATTGCAAGCATTTTGGGATGCCGTTAAACCCGCCGTATCTTTTTCAATGTCTATCAAATGGCACTAACAAAATATCGAAAAAATAGCGAAAATACCGAAACTGTCTAAAACTAGCGTTTTGCAGCTCAATTTTAAAGGTTATTTTTGCTTTTGCTATAACTTTTTGTTATCACAATAATTTGAGCCGTGATTAAAGCTCTTCCTATATTTTTCGAGGCACAATCGAATGGCGTCAAAAAACCTACAAAAATAGCGAAAATATTCGAAAATCAGGGTTTGGGGTACCGTAGCCGGCATATAGCAGGCCCTGACAACCCATAAGCATGCTTTGCTCGCCGTTTTAAGAAAAAATCTTCAAGGGCAAGAAGAAAGAACAATGACAAGATGGCAACAAAACTAAGCCAGAGCTGTAGATCCGAATCAGCTGGACAGCAACGCCATTTCTGGCTCGAAAAAGAATTAAAAATTAAGAATAATAAAGACGGTCAGCCGTCGTGCTGGCATAGGTTAACAATATCATTGTCACCTGATCCATCATCTCTAAAAGGGCAGGAGACTCGCCGTTTTTCCGCTATTGGGGGGGAGGAGGAATTTGAGGGGGTTGCCCCGTTCCGCCGGAATTGCCGCCCCCTCGGGGGGTCGGTTGGAACGAGGAAACGTATGTGATTGATCGACCCTGAGAAGAGGGAGAACGGGCCGGATCGTTTACTCTAGTATTTTGTTTCGAAAAAACTAGCGATTTAGTTAATTTTAGGAAATTTTCAAATTTTAGTACATGTCATAGCCCACCAATAAGGGCATCTGGACCTTACCCCCCCCCCCCCCCAAGTTGAAAGTTTCCAAAATTTTTTCGCCATAACTTTTTTACATTACATTACTTTGTGCTGTAATTAAAATTCTTAGTATATTTTTGATGCTCTACCGAATGACGTAGTCAAAATCCCGACAAAATAGCGGAAATCTTGAAAATTTTGGAAACTTCCGGCCGGGGAGGGGGTAAAGTAGAGCCTTACCAAAAAAGAAAATCAACTAAAATAACGTGCCGCCAAAGTTCAGCGCCTATAGATTGAAGCCTTTTTTGGCCAGGGGAAAAGACATGAGACCGGTAGCGGAAACGGTGAAAAGAAACAAGGGGGGAGAAGGTGGTGGTGGTGAAGGATCATCAGCGGGCATCTGAAGGGGGCAAAGTGCCTCGTCGGCTAGTCGTGAAAACGGGATCTGATCCCCCAATAACCTCACACTCTCTCGCCTCAAGGCCATCAACAAAACGCAAGGTCAGATGCGGTGCTATAAGGATTTTTAATAGAATCGACCCGCAACACGCAACGCGCACGCATGTGGGCTGGGGTGGAGGGGAGAATCGAAATTTTTCCTAGGATCAAATTTTTCAAATATAAATAGCGGATGTGTCTACACTGTTTTTTTATCATTCTTCAAGATAAAAACCTTACAGTTTTCAAAAACACGGAAAATTATGGATTTTTCGACCAAAAAGGGCGTTTTTGATTAAAATTTCGACGTTTTGAACGTTGTTATATAGTTGTTGCTAGCCGGCACGCATATTTTTATTTTACTAAAACACTATTTGAATGCTTCTTATTGGGTTAATAGGCATTTCTAGACTTATAAAATAAATTTCGCCCCCCCCCCCGATAATGCGAATCAGCCGAAACCGATTGTAATCTATTACGCTATGGGTGGTGAGGCTGGTGGAAACTCAATGACTAAATTGAATGGGATCAAAATGGACGAATGAATGCAAGCATGAAGGCAATAAGAACCCAAAAAAAGCCAAAGAAAATAAAAGCGAAACAACCGCGTCAACAATGGGCGGAAAACTGGAAACGAAGTGTGTAGCGTATGGTTAGTCTCCACGATTCCCGGGAAAAAGCCTGGAAAAGGGTGTGATCTCCCGCCTGGTCACCGCCTCTAAATGCGTAAAATGGCTGCTGTTTCAGCTTTTACGCGCTGCCCTCCGCGCGTGCAGGGGAGGGATATGGCAAAGGGTTCTTTTGCATTATCGGGGGGCAGCATTGTTCCTTAGGTTCCAATCTTTTTGGTATGTATAGCGGAAGTGGTTATAAACGGTTTTTATCTCCACTCTTCACTAGAACTCCACAAATTTTTGTCTTCGGTTATTCACAGGTTATTTAGACCAAAAATATCCGATCTGGCCAAAATTTTGACGTTGTAAATGTTTTCAAGTTTTTAGATAGTTTTTCTAGTTGTTTCTGGCTCAAGCCAATCAAGTTATATTTTGTAAAAAACACAGATAAACTACGCTTCATTACGTTACTAAGCATTTCTAGACGCACGCAAAAAATGTTGGCCCATCCCCGATAATGCGAAAGAACCGGAAAAGTGATAAATCGACTAATAGGACAAGATAAATTTGAATGACAATGCCTGAAAAAACAACGCAAACGTGCAAAATCGGCAACGGTCAAGGTTCTAGAGGTTTTTATTTTTAAGATAGCCAGGCTTAGGCTTAGACTTAGGCTGAGCTCTAGGCTTAGACTTAGGCTTAAACTCGGCGTAGGCTTTGCTTAGGCCTGCCTACGCTTAGAAGCTAGATAGGAAATGTAGAGAAGTAGTGGCAACGACGAATCCATATCCCGGAACGCATCGTTCAAAACCGCTCCCCCTCGCACCCAAATCGCCACAAATCTGCGCGGTGACGGTAAACTGCCGGCGGGCGCTTTTTTGAGCGAAAAAGAGAAGCCGCTGAATAGAGGGAGTTGAGGGAACTGGTCAGTCCGGTGGTGCCATATTGAGTCACCGGATCGGTCTCGCCCATCTGAACGCCGGCTACTAATCCGAAAATAGGGCTAGATCGGGGGTGTAGAAGAGATTCCCTATCACCTGTTCGAAAATCATCTGTTCGAAAATCACCTGTTCGAAAATCATCCGTTCGAAAAATCATCTGTTCGAAAATCATCTGTTCGAAAAGACATCTGTTCGAAAAATCATCTGTTCGAAAAGTCATCTGTTCGAAAATCATCCGCTCGAAAATCATCTGTTCGAAAAAACACCGTTTTCGAAGCAACAACTTTTCCAAAATTCAAAGTTTTTTTGAAAAGACTTTTCATGACAAAAAAAAAACAAAAAAAAACAAAAAGACATATTCATGAAGATTCAGGTTAAAATTATGGCAATGTTGTCGAGGAACTCGGCCATATATTCTTTGCTGTAGTTCTCGCAGAGCTGCTGCTGCTCGTCGATGGTCACCCTCGGGCGCTTATTTGGCTTGGCGGAGGATTCAATATAGCCGCGCAATTTCAGATTTTCCTCGAACTTCCCCACGAAACATGCAAAACACAGCATTTTAGTAGCAATAGCTTCCCATAAAATTTTTCCCCATTTGGGACCTTTTTCGAATAGGTGATTTTTCGAACCGATGATTTTCGAACAGATGACTTTTCGAACAGCTGACTTTTCGAACAGATGATTTTCGAACAGTTGATTTTCGAACAGATGATTTTCGAACAGATGATTTTCGAACAGATGGTTTTCGAACAGATGATTTTCGAACAGGTGATCGGCCACCGTAGAAGATCAGTGTTACTCTGGGAAAACATAGATAAGGGTCGCGATGCAGAAGTGTTGCGTGTCACAACTCCGAAGGAAACTATAGCCCACAAATCCATAGACAATCTTGCCTTGCCAATCCCTTTAGCCACTCTTACAAGGAGACGTTCTAGCAATGCACGAGAAATGTACACACGTAAGAAAAGTGGCGGAATGACTGGGACGAGACGAGAAGCCCGATGGCAGTAAACGGAATAGTATAGGGCCGACGAGACGAAGGAGACTGGTTTTCGACTCCTCAAAACGGCTACCTTGCTGCCCTGAAGCGCCACCAATTCGTCTTCCAGTCGTCCAAATCAAAGCCAACCTGGTACCGCAGCTGTGGTTATGCCCTAAAGGTACCAGCAAGCCAGAATTTTACCTGAAAATAGGGTAGGATTAGTGCTCTGGAAAGATTCGAGCGAAGGTGAGTAGGAAGGTATCTTAAGTATTAGGTAGGTGCCCGGTTTCCAATTAGATTTCAGTCTCACTGTTTTCAATCGAAGCTGCTAACTTTGACTTTAGAAAAAAACAGTAAAACACCTAAATTTGAATTACGCGTTGCTTGAACGTGCTAACTGTGCCTAATTAAACGCTTCCAACAACTTTTTGATCATATAAAATTAAGTTTGTTGAGCGTTTTTAGAGCACCCCCTTGAGGGGGATTGTGCAAATTTCATCCTTATTTTAGAATTTCGAAATGTTGAATTGTTGCGCGAGCGGTGGAGTGGCGTGGCGTACGCAGGCAGTCACCTTCGAAATTTTTGGTCGTTTGCAGGTAGCGTAGTGTCCTGACGTCTTTACTTCTCATTCAAAGACCAAATACCGTATCACAGACTTTTGACGCACTCGCGGAAATCTAAATTCGGCATTCCCCCGAGGGGATGCACGCATTCTAAAAAACGGCTGCCCGGCACAAATCAGAAACCCCCACTAATTGCCCGTTTTCTGCGGCGGCCCAGGCGCTTTTTTATGGTCACCCGCATTGCGAAAGCACCATGAAATGCATCAGCTACAGTACCCGATTACTCATTCTCCAGTTTTAGGGGTGGAAAGGGGTTTATAACCGGCCCTTCTATCGTAATCAACGGCAAAAACGGCTGCATTTCCCAATGGCTTCGTATCGAGGCTCGGATAACGATTTTCACATCGTTATTAGTTTCCCACGAGCTCGGCCAAAATAGTCGGCTAGCCAGGCTTTTGGTGGTCTGGCCAATTTATCAGCATTTCGCAATTTGTAGGTAGGAGATTCCTCCAAAATTCCTAACTTTGCAGTACAACAGGTAGTGTTGGGAAATTTGCCCGGTCCGGTTTTGGCCCGAAATTCGGGTATGAAACCGGGCCGCCCGAAAACCGGGCCGAGCCTCTCGGCCCGAAAACCGGGCCGCCCGAAATTCGGGCCGACCCCCTCGGCCCGAAAACCGGGCCGCCCGAAAACCGGGCCGTCCCCTTCGGCCCGAAAACCGGGCCGCCCGAAATTCGGGCCGTCCCCCTCGGCCCGAAAACCGGGCCGCCCGAAATTCGGGCCGTCCCCCTCGGCCCGAAAACCGGGCCGCCCGAAAACCGGGCCGACCTTCTCGGCCCGAAAACCGGGCCGCCCGAATTTCGGGCCGAGGCTCGCGGCCCGAAAACCGGGTCAACCCGGTTTTACTATGCAAGTTAAAATGAACATCATTTTCGAGCAGTTCACACAACTCGGCGCCAAACCGCTCGCAACTCATTTGGGGGTCGTTTGGTAGCATTCCTTCGAGGTTGTTGAACACGGCGGACGATTTCGAGACGTTTTTTTCTAACCGCTATAGCAGGCTGGGCAAAGCTGGTAAAGAGCTGAAACTCGTTGGGCAGATAGAACTTTTCGCGCTCTTTCGACTGATGCCCTTCTCGATCCAGGAGTCCCAGTGCCGATCGAGATATGATGGTTTTAGTGCGGCGACAACTTCGACAGGTACACCTTTCAGCACTAAAACGCTCCCCTCTCTGTCCCCCGACGGTGTTGGAGAACGGCAAGTATACCGTTGGAAAGAGCGTTCAAAATGCTACCTTCTCAACGGCTTGAAGCAATTCTATCAAGCTTCTTTACGCTGCTAGAGCGGTTAGAAAAAAACGTCTCGAAATCGTCCGCCGTGTTCAACAACCTCGAAGGAATGCTACCAAACGACCCCCAAATGAGTTGCGAGCGGTTTGGCGCCGAGTTGTGTGAACTGCTCGAAAATGATGTTCATTTTAACTTGCATAGTAAAACCGGGTTGACCCGGTTTTCGGGCCGCGAGCCTCGGCCCGAAATTCGGGCGGCCCGGTTTTCGGGCCGAGAAGGTCGGCCCGGTTTTCGGGCCGAGGGGGACGGCCCGAATTTCGGGCGGCCCGGTTTTCGGGCCGAAGGGGACGGCCCGGTTTTCGGGCGGCCCGGTTTTCGGGCCGAGGGGGTCGGCCCGAATTTCGGGCGGCCCGGTTTTCGGGCCGAGAGGCTCGGCCCGGTTTTCGGGCGGCCCGAAAACCGGGTATACCCGAATTTCGGGCGGCCCGAAAACCGGACCGGGCAAATTGCCCAACACTAACAACAGGCACCAAATTTTTCGTCATCTTTGCAATTTTTTCGGGATTGTTTTTGACATGATCTGATAGCGCATTAAAAATATATAAAAAACGGAGTTAGAGCCGCAAATAATGCAATCCAAAATCGTTATATCAGGAAAATGCTCAAAATTACGTTTTTGAAAGTTTCGCAGCTGTTTAAAGCCATTCAATAGGTAGCAAAGACTATGCCAAAACTTAACTACAAGTCCTTATAATGTAATCAATTCTAACGGTAAAAAGAAACCCCCCCCCGCTAAAGAAACAGAATCCCTGAAAGACTCCCCGGCTTTCTGCTGTTGAATTCGGCTTTCCCAGAAAAAAAAACGATACGGCTAGTCCGGGTGCCCTTTAGAAGGGCAAGTCCAGCGCCGACGCCCAAACACGATAGGACAAGTCCATTTCCCCACACAACAACATTACCAAAAAGCAGGTAATAACAGGGGGGACCCTACAAATCCCCGGTCCGGTGGTGTACGTCTCGACGGCCAAGAAAGGACAGCCACCGGATTACGATACCACATATATAAAGTCGTTTTTGGCGAAAATAAAGCTTCCCCTACTTTTTAGACTTTAAACGCCTCTACTTTTATAATGAGCCAAATCCCACTTTTTCAGACCGTTCAAAAATAGAGGATACAAATAGCATAATCCTTCATCTTTCGTCTGACGACAGCTAGTCGGGAAGCCCCAAAATGTTTGAATTGCAACAGGGCTTTTGGCCGTTCGATGAATAGCTTTACGCCGCGCAACTAAGCTAAGCCCAGCCTAAGCCCGTGCCTAATCTTAAGTATAAGCCTATTCTAAGAAGCCGAAGCTTAAGCTTAAGCCTAAAGTCCTAAGCCTAAGCCTAAGCCTGCGCTAAAGCCTATTCCTAAGCCTAAGCCTAAGCCTACGCTGAAACCTAAGTTAAACCTACCTTCAAGTATAAGCCTAAGCATCACCTTTACCAAGAATAAGCCTAAGCCTAAGCTTGAGCCTGAGCCTAAGCCTAATAAGACCATCCCTAAACTAGACTGCGACTCCTAGACTCCCAAGCCTAATCCATTCCCTTTGCTTCCCCTTCCCATTCCCGGGTTGTTGAAATCACAATATTTGGTGCCTGGTTTTTGCTACGAGGCCATTTATATCTCGTTATTTATTCGTGGGCAATTCGTATGCACCACCCAAACAAATGGCCCGTTGATTACCACATAATATGGGCCCGGATTGTCTCACCCCCCCCCCACCCATTTGGCCATTATTCAATCTCAAATTGTCTCCTGTTATCCCGCGACTGCCCGGTTTTTCGCAATTGTTTTTCCGCGACGGCTTTTGGCTGTTGATCCGTTTCCGGGTAATGGCCGGGTAACTGCTCACCATTTTGCCATTTGGTCCTGCGCCAAGAATACTGTAACACCACCCATTTCAGTGTCAATGGTGGCCCCTTCGGACGTCGAGATGCGCTTTGAACGTCGTCACTCTTCGGTGCATGTGGGTTTCATTGAATAATTTTTAATAAGTAATAAGGATGGAATGTTTTGTAAGCTTAATAGCAACTAAAACGCTCCTGGCAAGTGCGTAATTCGACATCTCTGTCGACTGGGTCTAGATAGATGCACAGCACACCAAAATACGTGAGACTTTTAGATCTGGAATTTAAATTTGCATCCCTATAAACTTCAAAAATTGGAGAGTCACGCAAGACGACAATTAACATGTCTCCACTCGATGTTTAGAGGCCCATAACCATCTAAACCTATATGCCAAATCGAAAGGACACGGGGTTTTGTTCTGTCTAGACCTAGCTTTTGCGAGGGGTCTACTCACGCGTTTCCAGTCCATTAAAATTTTAAATTCTAAACACCATATCTGTCTGGGATTTTCTATTTTTAATTGACTGGATTTGGTTTTTCTATTTTTATTCTGCATTGCTGGGATGAGAAAGTTTTCTCAAAGGCATTTTGACCAGCTGCCGCCCCGGCACAAATCCCAAGCCCACACAAATCGTACAGCTTTGACAGTGGTTTTTTCGGGGCCGGGGGGGGGGGGGGCAAATTGGGTCCCAGGTGACAGACCGGGAACGCACTCATTAGGGTCTGGGGGCCCCGCCTCCCGAAAAAAGGGCACAATCACAGGGATTTTCCCCCTCCTCTCATTTCTCGTTTTTTATGTAGGCTCAAGCTTAGGCCTAGACTTAAGCACCGGCCAAGCTCAGGCTAAGACTCAGCGCTGGTTTAGGCGTAGAAATAGGCCTAGGCCGCCATTCGCGCTGATTTCTCGCCCAGCACAGTACAATTAGTATTCACATAATTAATTTAATTCTGCTTTATGCAAAAATACCTTTTGTCAAGATATCTCATTAGATTAAAAACAAGATATTTTTTTATTCAGCTGGAGCCGCTCACCATGCAGTTACCCGGCAGCGCCGAGCAGTTCAAATTTGACTCCAAGGCCGTCGCACCGGCCAAGGTTGAAATCAACACTTGGCGGACTGCGTCTACTTCTGGTAGGCGAGAATTTACTTTAAACCAACGATTTAGCTTTCCTATTGCGGCCATACGTAAAAAAGTCGCATTTTTCAGATGACAGCCAACCTTCCTCACCACATTTCCGCACGTTGGCCCCGGTGAAACCGCCGCCTGTGCGCAATCTTCAGAAAAATGAGGTTTGTTTTTTGCCATTTTACGGTCGGCCAAATTGGGTCTAGGCGCGACTCACTGGCTATAAACTACTAGACACTTGGACTTGTGCCACCAAATTGCGTTTTCAGGGGAAGGGGTAAAGGGTGTATTTTGTGCCCTGCAGCGATGAAAGCGCGCAGAGTCCAAGTAATCAAAGGTTGGGGGCCATCAGGTGGTCATGAACACGTGCAAGATACCGTATTTTCTGCGTTAACGGGAAAAATACTTTACAAGGGAGCCACCGAAGGTCTAGGTGGTTTGTTTCGAGAAGGACCAAAACTATTATGTGCAGAAATTTTTGTTAATAGAACGTAAATTTTGGAATCTGCAAATTTGAAAAGCTAGAAAGCTCTAAACTGTGGAAAATCGCCAACTTTGCCCTTTTATCGTCCATTAGAGCTTTATAACTTTTTTGTTCTGGTCGTTTCGCAGGTTTTGGTAACTGGGTTTTAAAATCCTGCACAGATGAGCTAAACTGCCGACTCTAAAAAAAAGCTAGACTCCTTTTTCGCTGCCTTTCTGAACAAACACCGTATTCGGTCCGCAAATTTTTATACTAACAATCCTACTATATATAAAAAATAGTTCCTGTGTGTGTGTGTGTGTGCATTTGAATGCAACTTCCGTCACCGTGTCCGGAGGATATCTCAAGAGGGGAAGGGCGTTAGGCTACGTATGATACGTCATTAGGTGCGTAACGTCCCCGAGATGACTGCACGCATATCTGATTTTGCAAATTATGCTATTTTCGACATTAAAATTGAGTTTTTGTTGAAAAATCCGGCAGCCTTCTTTGTTAGGCAATAATTAGCATAAGCCGGAAGTGGCGGAAGCCTATATATAACGTGAGAGATTGGAATTCCTCATTTTTTCCCCCCATAGTAATTCGAGAGACGTATGCAGAGTGAAGAATTTCATCAAGTTAGACGGGGCCAGGGTTGAAAAGTCGCGAAGCGGCTTTTCAACCCTGGTTTCATCTTAAAAATCCAGCATGGGGGCGTATAGCATGGGGGCATGGAGCGCCTTTCTCAAGCTCTGCGTTTCAAATTTTGTATAGTGACGTAAAAGTAGCCGAAATCCCGCAGTTCAAACGAAACCTAAAAAGTTACAGATTCGTTCGCGCGCCTCCTCGAGCGACAATAAAATGCCGAACAATCGGGATCGACGCCATTCGCTGATCGCCCAGCTCTTTGATGACCACCCAAATGGTAGGGCAATGGTTCCGGGTTCGAGGTCGAGCCATCGTTACTTTATACTCCACTCGACGTTTGGGTAATTTCGAAACGTTTCAGCCCCCGGCACCCGACGCCCACGTCGCATCTCGGTCAGCGACGAGTTCGCGACCACCGCCCAGTTCATCGAGAATTTGCGTCAAGAGCTCATGAAGCAAATGTAAATATCGTACATGATAAATTATTTCTAATGAATTCTAGCCCTAATCCAAACAGCTATAATCCCGGTAGACAAATCCCGACAGCCATAATCCGGACAGACAAAATCCCGACAGCCAAATTCCCGTCAGGCCAAAATCGAAACGTATTTTAAACGCTAGTTTGAATCCCATCCCATTAATCAGCGATTTTACATGTCGGATTTTCGGTACCGGGATTTTCGCGTTTGCCCTGTTTTGCCGTAGTCGAACGTGTTTCTGAAATGTAGTATTTTCGACAGTAATATTTGCAACACTGAGAACTTCGATACGTTTGGCTCACGACTTCTTGCCCTTTTGCGTCTTTCCTTTAGGTAGCTGGATTCAATTTTCAAAATACTGATTTTCTGATTTTTTCAAGACGATTTTAAAACATGTGGAAAACCGCATTTGGCGCAAGGTGTATTTTTTAATCACCTGGTTGGTGCCCTTTACTCTCATTTTCACGTTTAATTCGCTGCAAACTCCCAAATTTACAGAGCAGTGTTGTGGGTGAATTTTTGAATATTATGTGCGGCTATCAACGATTTTCGCGATTTCGGCAGGATTTTCGCAAAAAACACAGAGACCATCTCCTCAACCCTGCACCTATCCTTCGCGGTTCTCATTCGAATAGCCTTTTTACGGGGGCTTCTCGTCGACTTGCCGCCGTTCCTTATCGCACGCTCCGATCTTCCGGACCGGCGAAAGAGGCGACAATCGACGAGGAAACATTGTCTTTTCCATCTAGATCATGCTGCTGCTGCTGCCGTTTTGTTGTGTTGTTACTGGACATGGGAGAGCAGGGAATGGACGCGGATACAAGACGAAGCATAATCGCAGGCGAACGGCAGGGGGACTTGCGATACGGTAGTTGGTGCCGACATGGATTGGAGGCTGAAATTGTGAAGAAACTTTAGTATACCTAAATGTACGGAAAACGCCAGAAAAATTCAAAATCCCAATAGCCAAAAACCCGACAGCCAAGATACCGACAGCCAGAATCCCGACAACCAGACTCCCCAGATTGTAAAACCATGTATCGGTAAAGCAAGCGGAAATATGGCATTTTGGCGGTCGGGATTTTGAATATTGGGATTATGGCTGTAGGGATTATGGCTGGAATTCGCCAAATTTTATTTTGGTGTGGGTAGGACTTTCGAGTAAGGCTTAGTCTTAAGGCCGGGCTTGAGCCTAAGGCGGAGCTAAGTTAAGAAGAGAAAAACTGAGTCTTCGTCTTAGCTTCGGCCTAAGCTTTGAGTTCGGTTGGTAGATATAAGCTGGGGCTAGGCTTAAACTACACAAGTGGAAGCTTAGTCGTACCTTAGGGCGAGGCTTACATGTAAACCTAGGCGAGCGTGCTGGAGAGGATCGCATCATCAAAAACAGACATTTTCAACCGGTTTGGCATTCACAAGAGTCCAAGACTTCTTGTGCGCTTTGTAACTATCGATTTCTTTCCTTCTCGATGGAACCTAATTGTTGAGGCTTTGCCATTCACAATTCACCCCCATTTTTCACATTAACCCCGACAAATTCTCAAAATTCCATGCCGTCCCGTTGGGGCGTCACTTTATTGCCGGGCGAGCTGTCCCATTGATGCGAACGGCTGGGGGGTCTCCGCCCAACATTGTGCCATTCTTCAAATTTCATCCCCACTTTCCACAAGCGCAAAACAAAGAACGAACAGAACAGCGCGCTGAGAGTCACAGAGGCGCTGCCCGCTGACGATTTTTATTAGGTGCTTTACGTGCCCGGGCTGCGGGGGAATTGTTGCCAACCGTGCGCTTTATGGTGGGGTCAGGGCTGAGGGTTCGGACATCGTTCTCGATGGGAGAACTTCAAAAGATCTGGGTAAATTAAAGGGCCTCGGAAGTCGAAGGTGTAATTGGGCGCGTTGCGTACTTGGCTGTGATGGATTCAGTAGCGTGAAGTAAGGCATTAATGGAGGGAGAGCGAGAGAATGTGAAAGAGTGAGAGTGAGTGCGAGAGTGAGAGAGATGGAGAGAGAGAGATTTGCTGTGCTCAATCGACCCTTGCGACGAGAGATCATCTCCGGCCTTTCCTGGTCCCTGCAACTTCCCGGTTTCCTTTTGGTGCCCTTGACAAAAACACATGATGCAAATACTTATCTCGTAAAAAAATCGCCACAGACAAGGAAGACCTTCTCAATGTCAAGAAGGAGATCCATGACCCGAGACGATCAGGAGAAATATCCCCGATCAAGGAAAGCGGCCCAAAACCCGGACCTCATACCGGCGCTTTTGAGTTCGTTGCAGAACGCGGGATTTTCTTGGCCTAAGGATAAGCTAACCCTAAGACTAAAGCTGTGCCTGATCTTAGCGCGCTGAGACAAGGTTGCCTTCCGAAGGGACCCCGGGAATTTTAATTGGGCATAGGCGCAGGCGCAGGCCTAATCCTTTGTAATAAATGTGTTTGGGCTTAGGCTTTTCTATAATGCTTTTCGAAAAGCATACCCTAGTTTTGGCCTCCAATCCTAGGATTCCAGGTCTCAGGGGCTTTCCTAGGGGTTCTAGGTTTGGGCCTAGGCTTTGGAGTGGTTTAGGCTGAGACTTTGGCTTAGCTTGGGTTCTCATTCTCGAATCATTGAGACCACATCAAGTAACCCCCAAATTTTTCAGGATATTGAGACAGTTTGGATGCTCCCGAGCTTGATCCGCGTTTGCATTGTTCAAGGCTGGGCTTGGGCTAGGCGAACATGGAGTGATCATCGAATTCATTTCTTCGCTCCTTCCAAGCACCGTTCCTCGAATCCGCTCGGAAGGGCAACAACAAAAAACAGCCGGCGCGCGGTTTCACCCCCATCCCTTTACTCGAAAAGCATTCCTGTGTGAAAATTCTCGAAAAAAATGAGGGGGGGGGGGGTGGATAGGGGGGGATCGGCGTTATCCCATGATCTGGGCCTATTGTTCTGCGTCGGGTCGTGGGTGTGTGTGGGACCGAAAAAATCCCTTTGTCCCATGCCGGGGCGATCTGAGGCTCCGATCATATTGGAGAAGGGAGAGCGGAGATCCGAGTCTCGAGTAATTGGTATCAATTCTGCCCAATTTGCCGCTTTCCCGCCAGAGTCCTGGACCCATGAGGGGGGGGGTTTCTCTTTCTCTCTCTCGCCCTCCCCCTCTCTCATCCATTGTTTCGAGCTGGTCCTCCCCACCACTCGGGATCTTCTCCCCCCTCAACCCGTGCCCGAAAACGGATACAGTAATATCCATAACTCGTGCAGGCGCGCGCATAATGGGATACCAGGTACCACAACATACACCCCTCCTGTCCTTCAAGGGATGATAGCCCTCCCCAAAACAGTTCTTTCCTCGCCGCCGGGAAAAGCTACCAGTTCCCCCCATGGTGAGAAGGACAACTGAACTTTTGGCTTCCTGGTGGAATCAAAGGAAATGGATCGAAAAACATTTTTGGTTGCGCCACGTTGCTATAACCGAGACAGAGCTGGAGTCACTTAGCCCTACGCCTAAACCTAAGCCTGACGCTAAGCCTATGCCTAAACCTAAGCCTAAGCCTAAGCATAAACTAAGTCTAACGCTGATCCTATGCCCCCAGCCTAAGCCTAAGCCCATGCATAAACCGAAGGCTAAGCTTAAGCGACCCAAGCCTAAACCTAAGCCGAAGCCAAGCCTAAGCCCAATTATGCCTAACCCTAAGCCTAGTTCTAAGCCTAGGCCTAGACCTAAGCCTAAGCCCCTAACCTAAGCCGAAGCCGAAGCCTAAGCCTAAGCCGAATCCTAAGTAAGCCACGTCTGAGCCTTCGCACTCCTTTTTTGCCATGTCCAAGCAAAACCAGCTAGCGCTTCACTAAAGCGCCGCCACTTCGGAACGGTAACCAGTCTGCCTGTAGTGTTTTGGCCTGCTGACCACCCCCGTGGACGAGGCTTTCACAATCCGGTGATGCAACAGGTATGCACTGGAACGATAGAGCACCCAATGCCATTCAGGAATGCCACCTTGAAATTGGAAAAGCCGGATTGGGGGTGAAGGTGAAATTTGGGACTTTTCGAATTTTTTCCATTCTTCTAGAAAAACTCAAAGAGAGAGAAAGAGCGAGGGAGAGAGAGAGAGAGAGAGAGAGAGAGAGATATGGTGCACACTAGATACAACGGGATAGAGCAAAAAGGGGAGTAGAAAGATCGAGAATTTGAGAAGCGAAGATGAAAAAAATATGGACGCTAAAGGGAAGAGCGGGAGACATTGAAGCCGCGAGGGATACGGTGCAGGAGAAGATAGCGATGGAAAGCGAATGGCACGAATGGTAAGGAGACGTAGAGAAAGAGAGCGTGGTCGTGCTCCACCTCCTGCCATTCGGCTGAGCGGAGAGACAAGCCTGCCTCCCCCTCCTCCGTCCTTCTCCTCCTCCTCGAGCAGCCCATCCCCCCACACAGAGCCCCCATCTTCAATCATTCCGGATCGGCAGCCCTGGCCATGTGGGCCCGTTTGCCCCCTCTGCTCCTCCTCACTGCAGGTAGGCCCATTTTGACAAGTTATTTAGCAACTTGGTTACTGTATTCTGAATTGCAATTTGTATTTGCTATAATTCCTTGACTCCCGACGGCGCTATTCTGCTTTTGGTGCCTTTGAAATTCGAAATTTTCGGCTTGAGAAGTTTGGGCCAAGGATTTGCGTACTGTAGAAGTCGAGTCAGGACTGGCTTTGGTACTTGCTGATAACCGCAAAACGAGGGCTCAATCCTTTTGCGACCGTTCTATTCGTTCGTTGCGAGGCCTAAGCCTAAGCCTAAGCCTAAGCCTAAGCCTAAACCTAAGCCTAAGCCCAAGCCTAAGCCTAATCAGTAATTTCTTCCTCGATTTTCTCACCACTCCAACGTCATTTCCAAGACAATACCCTTCCCAGTCTCTTTAAAAGATCTCCCTTCCCAAGCCTTCCCTAGCTTCCCCAACCCTTTAATCAGTCAACCTCCAACCTCAACAGCAATTTTCTTCCAAATTTACGAGGCG